AGATAGAAAAAGATAGATATTAGATCTTGATCTAAACATTTTAGATAGATAGATATGATAGAGATCCTGGAAATTAGATTAAAAGATAATAGATAATAGATCGAAAAAGAAAAGAAGATAGATAGATAGATTTATATAGATTTGAGAAATAGATAGATAGATAATAGATAATAGATAGTCAAAGAAAACATTTAGATAGATAGATAGATAGATAGATAGATAAAAACAGATAGAAGATAGATAGATAGAAGATAAATATAAAAACATTGGATACACCAAACATAGAAAGGGCATTTAAATTTCATCTGTTTATTTAGATATGGATATAATATTCCATTTTTAAAGGATTTAAACTCTTGTAATTTTTGCTGACAGTTTATTATTCGCTTGTAGATCTACGTTTCTCCAATTTTAACAGCTTTGTTTTTTAAAATTCAAATCACCCAAAATTTTAATGCAATGTCTTTCGTCATGTAAAAATGATTACTCTTCTATTGTTCTCAAAAAATTAATGTTTATTTTTTTCTCATTTTTCAAGGTTTTTTTTAAATTGTTTGCGCCTCAGATTTTAAAATTTTTTTTGCAGAGGTTGAATTTGATTAAAAACAAAAATTAAGCTATTTTTTTTTTATTTTTAATCATGAATGAAACCGTTGAAACGAGTTGTGAGATAAGAGACTCTAACAAGTTCAAATTCTAACCTTGCACTGAGAATATCAATCGTCGTAAACAAATTTGATCCACCTTTATTCATCTCAATGGAAATTGATCTTTTTCCTTATTTAACCGCAGATGAAACACGATTCAAAGCGACCGACTTGGATGTTTATCGCAGCTGGTGACATCAACAAGGCAGTTTATATGTCTTATGCAGATAAAAAGGGCGAATAATAAAAATTTGGTTTTCATTTTTTAAGTTCGAATTTCAATCGAAATTTGATCGGCAAAATCAAATGCCTTTACTTTTTTTTTTGATAACATCGCAATCAAATAAACATCACCGAGCAGACACTGGGGTTTCTCCATTTGCGATGAACCATTCTACTCACAACGAGGCTTCAATGCTTTAAACATTAGCTGTCAAGTTCAATCTAAACCTCAAGTGGAAATCTAATACACAGGCCATTGGTATAGATCAGCGCTTCTCAACAAATAGAACACATCCATTTTTGTTTTTGTTTTTTATTATCGTATCAACTCCATGCAAGGCAGTAAAAATCACTATGATACAACGGGTTACTGAGCATGAAAGCATAAGAAAAAAGAGAAACATTTTTAAGGAGCGAGAACAATAGAAGAGTAATCGGGAAGACAGTAGATAACGATTGACATTGCATTTAATTTTTTCATAGTTGGCTGCAAATTTGCATAGAAAATGGATACATTCGTTTGGTGAAGCGAGAGAAATTTCTCCAAGAAAAGAATTGAATTTGCATAGAACATAAGGTTAGCTGGGGCTATAGAATACGCTGACTGTGTTAGACATTTTGACGGTCGTCTTCGAGTATAGAATCCAGAGGTTAACAGTGAATATTTCGGAGACGGTAGGAAAGTGTAGTTCAGGTTAGCAGTGGATATCGCAGCAAAGTAGCAGAGCGTAGTACTTCCTTCTGTCATCTTCGCCTGACAAGTTGGCACTGGTCATTCGGGTAGGGTAAACAAAAATGGCCGCCTTTATACACGACGGATACAATGTTCTGCGGCTTCTGATTGGTTAACCTTCTATTGATAGACTATAAAGGGAGTTAAGTCATTTTGACTAACTCACTAGTTACATACCATATACACAAAAAACTGTAACTGACTGCACCTCTGCAGAGGGGTAAGACCCCTCCCAATGGAGCGTTCCGGATATGACGATAAAATACATCCGCGTTCAGCGTAAGGGAATAAACTACGTCCAACAGCAAGGCCTCTGATAAGGAGGTTTTGAGGAGCGTGGTACCACCTCTTAATTGCTGGTGTTCCCAGGTCCAACCTGACCCGAGGTGGTAGCATCTGTTAGGGTCCCAGCTATGGGCAAATAGTTAACCCTGAAACTGAGGTCAAAATCATTATAAAAGTGTAAAAATAGTTTTTAATATCAGAAATACTTTGAAAAAAATTATTACCAGAAATTAATTTTTGAAAAAAAAAAAATCTATTACCAGCAATACGTTTTTGAAAAAATATATTACCAGCAATACATGTGATTGTACTCAAAAATATGAGTAATTGAAAAATGGTTCAAATATATACATATATATTTTAAGACATTTTAAGTTTATACATTCTTTTTATAGATACAAATATTTAAGTAAATGCTCTGTTTATAATAAACAGTATTAAACAACATTTACCGGCCTGAATGTCCGAGAAATTTTCACAGAAAATATTCGTCCTCCGACAGGATTCGAACCTGTATCCTATACGGAACCGTCATTTAGCATGACGTGCCTTTAACCGATTTGGCCACAGAGGAGCGTTTGGTTAGCAAGTACGTGAGAGATTCATGGAAGATTAAAGTTTAAAGACAGTAAATTCAACCTTGCTAACCGAATGTTCCTCTATGGCCAAATCATACATCCGCTGTATTATATATATATAGATGGAATTAATCATACATGATTCTCCACACCAACATTTATTTTCCCATCACCGCAACAGGATAAAAAAAAACCCTTGCCGAGGACAGAAATCGATCCGCTCAATTGGGAGACGGAAGCTGCAGAAAGAACGAATTGGAGAAGAACAATCCGCGAATAAATAACATCTTTCGAAAGCACCAGAAGAGTTAAAGAGAACCCAAAGAAAAGCCAGAGCTTTCCTTCCTCCTAAACCATCCTAGACTACCATGCCTTGGCTGCGGACGTCTCTTCAGATCTTGGTTCGTACAGAAGGAAACGCCCAATTCGTGGCAACGAGATCCGCCAATGACGGCTTTAAATATACAACGTCTTAAAAACAAACGCTTAATTTTGGAGATTTCTTCATTATTTTCCTATTTTCATATTCCATGTCTAATGTTACTTTATGTGAGCTCCAGAGCTTTAGATATCTTCCAAAAATTGTTCGTTCTCATTCTCCCGCTTCAGGAAGAACTTGACTATTTCCAACCGACTTTATTTTCAATGATCATCAACCTTTTCCATGATTCCTAGTTTTTCAAAGTAGCAGCATTCTTTAACATAAAGATGGCTTTCTGCGACTTCACATTCCCAGTGCAAGATTGGTGTAGCGATGTTGTGAGAGATACTAGCAACATTCATTCTGTAGTTCATTAGTTTTGCCGTATGTCGCATTGAAATTTTCCTTTTACAAATGGAAAACTAACAAAGACAACACTTTTCTCTCGGTGCGTCGCCTAGAAATATTAAACAATGCCGTTATAATGGTAAATATAGCTTTAATAATATCGAAACTGCAGTCACAGATTAAATAAACGTAGATACCTCTACAAAAATCGCGATGCTCAAAGTTTAGATTTCTTGAAGTTTTCATTTTAGCTTTAATTGAAAGCTAAATGACTAAATTTACCTTTTCCAGTAAGCAAAATACTCTGGTGTATTTCAAACATAAATTATATTGTTTGGAATCGATTTTCATTTATTTTTTTTTTAGTAAGATCGTCAAAGTAGTCAATTTTTGAAACATTTCTAAACACAAGGTTGTTCTCAGGTTTCACACTTCCTTGGGTCTAATTAAATGATTAAATCCTATTAAAATAGGACGTGTAATCTAACCATTACTGAATAAAAGCCAACATTTTAGAGAGGTGGGGGTAACAAAAATTTAAAATTTGCCAGCTGTGATATTATCATTCGGCATCAAGAAAGGTAACATTCATGGTGCGATGGGTAAATCGTCGTCATTTTATATTTTTAATTTCGCACATGCGCGTTGTTTTTTATTTTGTCGATGGCACAGTATAGTAGGGTCACTTCGGTACCGTCTGTTAGAAAAAGAGCACCATGACGCAATTCACTTCATCAGATATTTGGAAACGCCATGCTGTGCAGCTTAGCATTCGCACCGGACGCTACAACACGAACATTTCAGTGTTTTTGGGTGTCAAGCTAAGGAGAGTGCAGAGTATTCGCAAAGAGTTGGATGAGTCTAATGGTGATTACGAAGGCACGGCAGCTCGGAAAACTCACTCTGATCGTTCTGATAAGAACTCCCGAATTTGTTGGCGAGGGCCATAGACTCAACACGGACGCCTAAACCGAGTTCCTTGAAGTTGTAGTGCTACCCAGGGTTAAGAGGGTGGCTGCTGGAAAACACTATATCTGGTAACAGGACTCTGCAGTATTGCCCACAAGCAGGAGCACCCAGTCATAGCTGCCAGACAATTTCTGTGACCACATTATCTCTTTCATCTGGCCACCGAACTCCCCAGACTGTAAATCTCTTGACTATAGTGTGTGGAGTGCAGTAGAGACCAAAAGAACACCTAACACTAAAGATCAACTGCAAGCAAGGATTATGGCATCATTCAACAAATTAAACAAGAAGACTCTCCAGAACAGTTGCAGGAGATTCCTAAGTTGTCTGGAGGCAGCGGTTGAAGTCAATGGCGATATTATTGAAAAAATTTACTCTTTATTATTTCAAGATATTTTTGTGCAATTTTCGTAAATATATCTGTTAAAATGAGATGTCAGTGTTATTTTAATTATGGGGGTCAATTAGACAACAATTTATCCGTCGCACCCTGTATATCTGTTAAAATGAGATGTCAGTGTTATTTTCATTTTTGCGTCATTTATACGACAATTTATCCATCGCACACTGTATATCTGTTAAAATGAGATGTCAGTGTTATTTTAATTTCGGCGTCATTTGGACGACAATTTATTCATCGCACCCTGTATATTTCTTAAAAAGAAATGTCAGCGTTATTTTCATTTTGCGGTATTTAGACGATAATTTATCCATCGCACCACGCATATCTGTTAAAATGAGTTGTCAGTGTTAATATCGCTTTGGCGTCCTTTGAACGACAATTTATACATCGCACCATGTATAATTTTGCATATGGTGGTGAAGGCTTCCGTGGAAACAGCTACTCTTTTCGACTGACAGGTAAGAAATTGCGAAAAGTCCGCTCTTCAGGTTTGAATTTAAGGTTTTTCCTTCAACTAACCTGGTCATCAACCGAGGTGAGTGAGTACAGTCAGATGAACATAGACGAGGAGGGGGAGAGAAATGGGTTAATATCTTTCCCAATATAGAAATCTGAATTTTTATGAACTCGTCTGGGAAATCGAACTCGACACGTCGGTTTCGTTTTGCCACATCGTAACCATTAAAATATCGGTAAAAATTATACGCATTCAGTTTTGAAGGTGACCCCCCCCCGAGTTATTCCAAACCAATTCGGCAGAATATGGAATCTATTCAGCAAATACAAACGTATTCTTCATTTCACGGATTTCCAATTTCTCTTTGATTCCATTCAAATTCGAAATCTGAATTAACAAGCATTGATTCTTCGGGTAACATGCACTGGCGTTATAGAAATCGAACGGAATTTCTGTTATTTTTGGCCAGCATCCATTTCTATCAAGTGTTTAATTTTGGTTAATTAGCAACGGGGCAATGAGCGACAATTAGGACTAATTAGTTGAACTGATTAAGCAGTACGATCAATTGTTGAGTTGTTAAAGTTGCCCCGTCGGCTAATAAAGTTATAACATTAACATTGTCACAAATAATTAATGATAACACGATAGACGTCGATAATTTTTTTTAAAACACCACCTCTTTTAAACCGAAAAGCTTTCCCGGGAACACTAAATTCATTAATGTGGTAACCAATGACATCGTTGTTTACGCTTAAATATTGTAAATTATTTAAATACTAGCAGCCATACCCAGCTGGTCCATCAGAAGAAGCATTCAATTGAAATGGAGCAAAAACAGCATCATGTTTCGATGTAACAGAGTCTATCTTTTTCAATTACTTTAAAGTACTTTCATTAAAAACATTTTCAATTAATGCAGTTACTGATATAACAGAAGTAGTCTGTATTTATTCAATCGAAGTTAGCCGAGGACATGAACGGGTAAAACAGGCAACATGAAGACCCATTTCAGACCACAATTATTTTGGAGTTTTTGAAATTCAATTTGTTAGTGTGCTACCATGGATGTAAAAGAGGATACATTTATAAAGCAATTGTTAAGTTTAATGACATTAGGTTGAAAGATCAACGAAAAATAAGAAACCAGTAAACATCGCCATTTAATGCTATTTATGTGGGTTTTCACTATATAGGTGGGCTCAATTATCAAATTAAATGACTGTTAAACAATCAACTTATTGTTGGCTACAATTGAGTGAAGTTTGTATTAGATTGCTTGAAAATTGAGGGAGTTTTTAGTTTAAAATTTGTGTTGAAATCGATTTTTCGTTTTATCTTTAAACGCAGTGACGTAGAAATAAAAATGAGGTATCGTTGAGCTCGTCATAATGTAAGTAACCTACATACCGAGTTTGAACGAAATCGGAGGAAAAAGTTGAATGTATTGATTTCTGATCGGATCTATCGATTATTGACTTTTAAAAATTATCGATATTTTAGACTAAGAACCTATCTCTTACATTGTACAATGTATGTGCCAAGTTTGGTCGAAATCAGTTGGATGGAATCGAGTGAAAACGTATCAGACAGAGAGAGAGACAGACGGACACACAGACATCCGCTGTATTATATATATAGATGGAATTAATTATACATGATTCTCCTCACCAACTTTTATTTCCCATCACGGCAACAGGATAAAATCTCGAATAATTATTGAATTTTATGTCAGATTTCTAAGAACCTCCAGCTCCCGATAATTACTTGAAACATATGTAGAAAACATTTTAAAAAATGTTCATGCTAAGTATCGAAAAAACACGATATAAAACTCACTATTTTTTGTCCATAATGTTGAATGCGTTAAAATTCTTCAACTTTTTAACAAGAAACAATCTCAAGTTGATGTTAAAAATAACTGCAAAATATTCTTGATTTATTTAAGATAGAATGATCTATTATGAAATTTTTGTCTGTATTTTAAACACATTGTTTTTATTTTCAATTTTTCTAGTTGAATTGTGCACCTATATTGCATACTAGCAGTAGAGCCCGGCGTTGCCCGGGGATGTAACAGTAAGAGATACATCAAGTATCGATCATCATAAAGACTGAAAAATAAAATTGACAAAGATTATTGTTTAAGGTTGACGGACACGCATGTCTAAATTAGTTGTTTTTTGTTTTTTTGTTTTTTTTAACGAATTGGTCAAATCCAAACTCAAACAAAATCATTGTTTTCAATCGCTATGAGTCTACCGATTGAATAGAATTTTATTATAAACAATTGTCTTGTAAATGGAATTTTTAAGGCATTCTGAAATAAAAATAAAAGAAAAAAAGTGTGCAAGACAATAAAACACTACCTGCCAAAAAAAAAAAAGAAGTTTTGTTGAAATCGTTTGAAAAATGTAGGAAATCCGATCCCATATATAAACGAAACACACACACACACACACACACACACACACACACACACAACCTGGGTTTTATAACAACTCAACATCGCCAACTGAACACCGCCGACTGAACACGGCCCTGAATTGTTCTGGCGCTCAGTCGGCGGTGTTGAGTCGGCGGTGTTGAGTCGACGGTGTTGAGTCGGTGGTGTTGATTTTTCTCTTTCCAACAATTACGATATATCCGAAGCTAAATAATATAGAAACGAGAAACTCACAAAATTATCACTAAGTCAAACGGCTAAAATAGCATTTATTTTACGCAAAAAATATTTTTCTTTCTTTTTACAGATTCCGTTTTCGTTCTCAATATTTCCTTTTCTGTGCCTTTGCCTTTTTATACATTTCTTAGACTTTCTCTTTCTTTCTTTCTTTCTCTTTCTTTCTTTCTTTCTTTCTTTTATTCTTTCTCAATTACTTTTGATTTATTTCTTTTCACCATTTCATTTTATACATTTTTCTTTCTTTTTCTTTCTTTCTTTCTTTCTTTCTCAATTGCTTTTTTATTTTTCTCTTCATCTTTTCATTTTATACATTTTCTTTCTTTTTTTCTTTTCCTTTCTATCTTTATTTTTATCTTTGTTTCGTTTTTCTTTCTATCTTTCTTTTTCTTTTTCTTTCTTTCTTATTTTCCGAATTGCTTTTTTTTATTTCTCTTCATCTTTTCAGTTTATACATTTCTTTCTTTCTTTCTTTCTTTCTTTCTTTCTTTCTTTCTTTTTCTTTCTTTCTCAATTACTTTTTATTTTTTCTCTTCATCTTTTCATTTTATACATTTTTCTTTCTTTCTTTTTTTTTTTCTTTCTTTTCTTTTTCTTTTTCTTTCTTACTTTCTTCCTTCCTTTCTTTCTTTCTCAGTTGCTTTTTATTTATTTCTCTCCATCTTTTCATTTTATACATTTTTCTTTCTTTCTTTTTTCCTTTTTATCTTTCTTTCTATCTTTCTTTCTATCTTTCTTTTTCTCTTTCATTCTTTCTTTCTTATTTACTTTCTGAATTGCTTTTTTATTTATTTCTCTTCATCTTTTCATTTTATTTTTTTTTCTTTTTTATTTTTTTTTTCTTTTTTTTTTTTTCTTTTTTTTCTTTCTTCCTTTTTTTTTTTTTCTTTCTTTCTTTCTTTCTTTCTTTCTTTCTTCCTTTCTTCCTTTCTTTCTTTTTCTCTTTCTTTCTCAGTAGCATTTTTATTTATTTCTCTTCATCTTTTCATTTTTATACATATTTTCTTTTTCTTTTTTTTTCTTTCTTTGTTTCTTTCTTTCTCGATAACATTTTCTTCATTTCCGTCTCTCTTTTTTTTCTTCAAAATTTCTTAGTTTATAGTTCCGTCCCAAATTTCAAAATATAAATCCTGTTAATCAAAAATCCTGATCTCTTCACCAAGATCTCAAAAGAATTGCCCAGCTGTTTTATCTGGTGCCTGCTTACGTCACAATGATGTCTCGAAAGTTCATTAAAAAGAATTGGCTCTCAATTTAATGACATTGAATTTCCAGATTATCTCATTCCTTGTTGAGTCAATTAATCCAATATTTCTTAACTTCTCTCTCGTATTAAAAGTTATGTGGAGAATATTTTACAAAAACTGAGCTAATAACTTATTCAATTAAGCTACGAATTTAGTGATCCACCCTCGTTTATACGATTCATCATCGTTTTATATGAAATCGCAGTAGTGAGAAAAAGTGTGAATCGAACTCGCTACGCTAGGTAATTCTCTGAATCATCGCAAAACGACAGGTGATATTTTATGCTAATTTATACTAGATTTTAATCTTCTCCCGAAAGAAACACCGATACTGGGACGCGATGACATCTGCTGAGTTCTGGGTCAGCCCAACCTAAATCAAGGGCTATGAGACAAGAGCAAGTTGGTTTGTTTTTTTGTATTTCTTTTTCTGGGTTATATTTAAAAGACGGATTCTTCGACAAGAAATCCTATCAATACAAGGAACGTGACGATGATAACACGTTGTTTTCGATGGGTAGAGGCTTGGGTATGTGGGAAGCGGGAGGGACGTGGATAGCGCGGGTGTCAAGCCGAGCGTGTCTTACAGGGGGTAGTCAGCATTTGGCGCGCAATCGCATATGAGCATACATTACCACAGAAGAGGAAACTGGAAAGATATTGGCTGGAAGAAAATAAGCGGAGCAGAATAAAGAATAAGGAAAACGAAACCAAATTGGCATAAATCAATTTGATTTCAAAACCAAGATTGGAAATATATTATTACTCAATTTTTTTGGGATATGAAATAATTTTAATATTCTTCTTTACTAATGTCTTCATATATGGGATATATATATATATATATATATATTATATTATATTTTGAACAATAAGAAAATAAAAAATTAAAAATTAAAATCATTAGAAACACTGGGTTGTAAATTAATATTCTTTTATTTTTTTATTATATTCCATTTATATATATATATTATATATATATATATATATATATATATCAGATGAAAGTACTTAAAAAAAAATTTTATACAAGTTGAATTTATTAAAAACAGGGTTTACAACATTCATCTAGAGGTTCGTGGGTTAATGTAATTTTAATAAATTTGTTTGCGAAGTTGTATTCTCGCTATTTATATCATTAACTTCACTAATCTGTTTTTAGTATGAATGATTCATGTAATATAAATTGAAATGTACAACATGTTTGATTTAAAAAGAACTGATCCGACGTGCAACTTTCAGGATAATAGCTGCGACATTGCGCTATTTGTTGAACAATTTTGTTCATGCCACATCGACCGAAAAAACTACTACAACAAAAGAATTCTCCAATCACCATATTAGTAAAAAAAAAACGCGCTGTCTTTTAAATTTTCAAAAAATTCAACCTTAGCGTTGCGACCGCACGCTCCAGAATTTTTTACAGTTAACAATAACACATTTCTAAAAAAAATATTTCGATTCACATCTAATCTTTCATATCCCGTTATTACCTGGATGTATATAAAAAAAATCAATTTCCATGCCTAATGATGTCTGTATGAACAGATGAAGGTACTAACAAAAAAAGACTTTATAGAAGTTGAATTTATTAAAAACAGGGATCATAACATTCATCTAGAGGTTCGTGGGTTAAAGTAATTTTAATAAATTTGTTTGCAAAGATGTATTCTCGCTATTTATATCATTAACTTCACTAATCTGTTTTTTGTATGAATGATTCATGTATTATATATATATATATATATATATGTGTGTGTTTATATGTATAAATGTGTGTGGGTGTGATAGGCGCGTGTCTGTGTATCGGGTGTAACAGCAAAATTGTCCAAATCATGTAACACCGTAACTTTCCATCTCACAAACTGTTTAATATCTAAAAAAAAAAAAAACACTAGACTGAGTTTCTTTTTTCCAGGTTTTCGGATAAGACGTTTAGCCATCTTGACACGATTTGTCAAAAGAATCACTGAAAACCCTTTTCAGTTTTTCAGCAAGAAAGAGACCAGGTTAAAATCGTTTTTTGTCAGCCCCCACACTCTTCCTAAATGGTCAATAGAGAGGAAAAAGATAGCGTTTAGGCCTTCAGTAAATGTATATATATATATATATATATATATATATATATATATATATATATATATATGTGAAAAGTGTATATAAATATAAATAAATATATATATGTATAATTATTTATATATTATATGCGCGGTACTTATTAGAAAGCGCTCAATATCAGAGATAGAGCTAACATATTTGGTTGGATAGATGTGATTTTGTGACCCTGGGTTTTTTTTTTTAGCGATCGTCAGACAAACCCTGACGAAATTAAAGCGTGAAACCCAGGGTCCAAACTCACATATATCCAATATATATATATATATATATATATATATATATATATATATATATATATTATCATTTCAAAAGGAAAAATTAATGGAAATAAACTAGTATACATTTGGGGTTATTTTATTTAAAAGTGAAATTGAAGACTGAGAATTTAAATTGTGGAAAGGACAAAAGATGAATGTGATTCAAGAAGACCAAACTTTGAACCAAATTTTTTGGAGATTTATAAATATATAATGATAATTTATAATAAATTTTAAAAAAAAAAAAATGTTAAAAAAAAAATTTTTCTCAAAAAAAATTGCTATAGGATTAAAATAAATAAAAATGTTTTTTGTTCCAAAATAAAATAATATTCATTTTTAGAAAAAGAATTTTACAAAACAATAAATGTTTTCTTAAGAATTGGCGATTTGGATGAAATTCTACAGAATTGTTTATAAAATTTTAAAAAAGATTTTTTAAAAGAAAATAACAGGTTATAATTTTAAGACAGAAAATGGCGATAATGCCACTAAGACGCAAGCAAACTGGGATGTGAAAAAAAATCAAGGACTTTTATTGAAATAAGAAAGGGTAAAAAAAAAAACAACAGAAAACAGAGATATTGAATGATATTGCAATTTCAAAAAATTCAAGAACCAAAAATTTTTTGAATAAAAAAAAAAAAAAAAAAGAAAAAAAATATAAAGATAGAAAAATGAAATATGGATAAAAAGAAAAAAAAATTGTCCATTTAAATTTTATTTAAAAAAAGATTTAAAAAGAAAAAAATCAATCAATTCATAATATGTTTGGCAATCAAAATTTCATTTTTAAATTAAAAAAAATTAGGGAGACCAACAGTTTGTTAGAAAATTATGTTCATTTCATTAAGTTTTTATTTTTTAGAAATAAAAATTTTTTGAGAATTTATAAATATTTTTTTTTATATATAGAAATTTCTGCAATACCATATTTTCACCTATATAAACTCTTTTTTATATAAAGAAATAATGATTTATTTTTAATTAATTCAAGGCAAAAGAATACTATTTGGAAAAAAAAAAATTGAAAAAAAGCATTAAAAAAAAAAAAAAAATTTATACAACAGGAAGATGATTAAAAATCGGACCATCTTTAAATTGATATTCAAAGTTTTTGAAAAAAATTTCTTTTAAATCGTATTGAAAATAAAACCCTGTCATTTGTTATCATCATATATACACATTAATATTTTCAATGAGACTTTGTTGGTTCAAAATGGAAAATTCAAACATCAAAAAAAAAATTTTGAAAATTTGTTGTTTTTATGTAAATTTTTTTATATTTAAATTTTTTTTGATTTTTTTTTAATTCTTTTTTGCATGAATATCAAGAAGAAAAATATTTAACAATTAAATTTAAAAGTAAAATTTTTTGAAAAATATCAACATAAAAAAAAATTTTTAAAATATTTAAAGTGTTCTTTTATATTTGAAAAATTATTTTTTATTTAAAAAATTTTTTTAAATTTCAAATAATATGAAAATCTTTAAATTTATTGAAAATTTGAAATAAAAATGTTAAAAACAACTTTAGAGCTTAATTAATTTAATTCAATTAAATTCAAATTATATTTATTTTACACTGCATAATAATATATTTTATATGTTCAAGAATTTCAAAAACGAATAATGAGAATAAAAATTATACGTGCAAATATTTAAATATTTTTTAATATAAAATAAGAAAATATATATATATATATATATATAATTTAAATAAAAACATATTAAAAATGGTTTCTTATTTTTCTAAACAATTTCTACGTAAAGTAAATGGAATCTTATTTTTTAATTAAATTATATCGATATATATAATTATTTATAATCAATTTTATTGTAAAAATACAGATTTCCGAAAGAAAAAATATAAAAATCAATCAATATATTTATTTATATATGGTCACGAAACCAAATATAAAATCCATTTATAAAAGGATTTACCAAATCAAAAAAAATTGAAATGGTCTTTCGTCATTTACTTGTGACGTCGTCCCCGGTCGCAGCGCCAACTGTGACGTTCTATCCTGATCTACCACGGCGCCAGTTGTGACGTCCCCAAACAGCACAAATTTGACGTCCTCGCCGTGGCGCCAGCTGTTCGCCCTCGCTGCTCCGTCCGGGTGTCGCTGCTCCAAACGTGACGTCCGCCTGTCGCGTCAGTCGTGTTGTCTCGTCCTGTGACGACCAACTGGCTTGGTATCGGTCGCGGCACCCAAATGTGACGTTCTAACCTTTTTGGTGATTCGGGTGGGAATCTGGTTAGATTTGATATCAGCCTCGTCGTTCCCAACTCGCTTCCAACGCCTGGTTACCAAGGTAACTGCATTGATCTCCAGTCTGCCTACCCACGTTGTGAATTGATCTTAGACAGACGAGATCAAACAGTGGTTGGGGCCGTAATGCAAAATTGAGTTCAACGGGGGTGATACCACACAAATATGCATAAAAGAAAATAAAATGAAAACTCAAAAAGTTCAAAGTATCAAAAAAAAAGGTAACAAACTTTATGTCTAGTTGTTCGATACATAGGACTGCATCTATCTCCCGACCCGTTCTGTGGATTGTGACACGTCGTTTTCCGTTAGGCAAGTTTTTAACGCTTCAAGTTGTTTGCTCTCTAAGAAATTGGTGTTTCGGTGTGTCTTTGGACGAAAGTCGAAAAACTTATTTCGGTGGTCTGGTTCTAAGTCGCTCTTCAAAATAATTGTTTTTGGGTTGAAGACTAAGTATGGAATTTTTTTGCGTGAATCTTGGTCATCTAGCTGAATGCGAGGCGGTTTCAACTGATTTGACTGACTCTGGGAACTCAACTCAAAAACTCTCGAGCCCGAACTGATTTCTGCCTGTTGGGGTCTTCTTTTTATTGACGCCGACCAAAACCGGGTTGGGTCTGTTGGCGTCGGGGTGGTTTTCCTCGATAATTCTAAATACATATCCACCTCTTTTATTTCTGGTTAGGGATTTTCCACTTTTTTCCATTTTTTTTTTTTTTTTTTACTCTTTTTTTCTCAATTGCTTTTTTTTTCTGAGGGGCGTGAACTGCCCTCCCCACTTCTTCGTAGCAGCTTCTCATACTTATACTCTGGATGGGGCGTCGACAGCCTTCTTTGTGCGTCACGTGATCACCTCTCGGCCAATGAGGTCTTGGTATTATCTTTCCTCCTCCTTCGTGCGTCACGTGATCACCACTTGACCAATGATGTCTTCTTAGAAGGCGTGAACAATCCGTGGCTTTGTTTCGAAAAAAAAAAAAAATATCTTTAAAAAAAAAAAAAATTATCTCTTCTCCTTTCCTTTTTTTAAATATATTTTATTTTTAAATTTTTCTAGTCGCAACGGACAATATAACAACATTCTTGTTTTTATACGTTTTGTTTGTCATGGTATTTTATCGCTAATTTATCAAGATGGGTATTATTCTTAACATGGCTTCAAAAAAGAAATATCCCCAAAGTTTTCAGTCAGTCTGTCGCCTCCAAGGAAGAAAAAAAAAACTTCTGGTTCCCCATTCATTTTTCCTTCGGTACATATTCCTGATAACATAATTTTATTATCGCAGGCCAAAGTTGTTTCGTCGAAAAAATTCGGTCAGAAGGACTGCTTGTGTGGGATTTTTTTTTCATATCTGTCCAAAGTATTTTTAGTGGCCTTTTTTCGTCACTTATCGAAATAGCATTTTTTTTCTTTTTTTTTGGCCAGTGGTCCAGAAAGATAACACCAGCCGTTATCATCAAAACACATCTGATTCCTTTTTCTTTCTTCTTTCTTTTTTACTCAGAAATTCCCTGTCATTGTAATGACACCCAAAATTTGTTACTTATCAATATTTTCATTGTCTCTTAGCCATGTGTGTGGCTGTTTATCACCTACGATTCGTCTCGCCTTTTTTCTGCCTTATTTTCTTTCTCTTCCTTTCTCTGCCTCGTAAATGGTGCTAAGATTTCAGTTGACTTTAAGAATAAATATTTTTATAGTATATATCTGAAATTTAAACGTTTTATCTTATTAACGATATTTTAAATAAATATATATATAATATAAATATATATATATATATATTATATATATATATATATATATATATATATATATATATTTATATGTGTGTGTGTGTGTTGTGTGTGTGTGTGTGTGTTAAGAATTTTTTTTCATTCGTATTTAGGATAAAAAAATACTAAAAAAAAATTTTAGATAAATGTCCAAACAAACTATAAAAAAATCTGAAAATCAATTTTTGATGTTCAATACCCAAGCGCCAAAATGTGATTTAATGTATGAATTAAAATGAGCAGACCTTAGTAACAGTTTATGGAAGTTCTTGTTATCTCAATGATCAACAGTAAACAAAAAATCCAATTAAAACGATGACTTTTGACTTCGTTTTATAATATGCTATCGACGGCTCAAATAAGGGTTATTTTATATTCAGTTTTAACATTTTTGAAATTTCATTTCACACAATTCCGATATACGCTGTATTTATTTATTATATGCAGAATATATATATATTTTTATATTTTTTTTTTTCATTTCACCCCAAGCAAGGCCTGGAAGCCACTAGGACGCAAGGGGTTACAGATGATTTGGAGCAAGATCAGATAGGAGTGATAGAAGAAAGGATGAGGAGAAGGGTAGTGGATAGATCAAGGCAACTGGAGATGTCGATTGACATTACATTTGAATAGCTGGAGATTTATAGCTCTCAGGGAAACAGGAATAGGGAAGGGAGTTCCACAGGCGAGAGGTGCGAGACATGAAGCTATTGGAGTAGAAGAGACGGCTACATTTAGGAGTTTCGACAGTGAAGGGGTGAGAGCGGGATGCCAGCCTCGTAGGGCGCTTGAACTCATGAAGTCTGGGAACCAGCGAATGCAGCTCCTCGGAGCAATTTCCATGAAAGTATTTGTAAAAAAGACAGAGAGAGACGACGGCGCGTCTGTGAGAAAGTGACTGTCGACTAGATGCCAGAGCAGGGCCAATTATATTGCATATCCGCCTCTGGAGCTTATCAAGAACCCCGAGGCAAACAGAAGGGGCACCAGACCATATATGGCAGCAATACTCCATGCAAGGGCGAATGGTTGATTTGTAGATCTGGAGGATCGATTCCGGGGAGAAAAATTTCCTGGCGCGGCTCAGGGAGCCAACTTTCCTTGCGGTGGACGAAGCAATTGATTCTCAATGTATTTGTTCCATCTCAGGTCAGCAGTCAACGTGAGACCGAGCAGCCGCAGAGAGTTGCTCTCGAGAAGTTGAGCGTCAGACATTCTAATGGGGGCAGGGAAGGATCTCTGTGGTGATTAATAGAGAGCAGTTTTGTTTTTTGAAGCGTTAAAGTTGACCAGCCAATTCCTGCCCCAGTTCACAACCGATTGGAGGTCCTTTTCGAGACGCACGGCCAGGTTAGTTTTGTCAGTGACACTAGATTTGTTTTTGAGGCAGGAATAAATTGTGGTGTCATCCGCGTAGATGCCAACTTGGGAATTTATGGCGTCAGGAAGGTCATTTATGTAGATAAGGAATAGAGTGGGGCCTAGGATGGAGCCTTGGGGAACACCTGTGTTCGTGGGATAGGAACTGGATGAGAATCCGTTGAGAACGACCTTCAATTCACGGTTTGACAGGAATGATTGTATTAGGTCAAACAATCGACCTGTAATACCATAACCCTGGAGCTTGCGAAGAAGGCCGGCATGCCAAACCCTATCAAATGCTTTGGAGATGTCTAGGGCCACGGCACGAGGCTTCCCCTGTTATTTTGAAGAGCTTGGTAGACAGTTTCAGTGATGGCTGTAAGCACATCAGCTGTAGATCGGGCAAAGCGGAAACCATATTGCTTGTCTGAGAGCAGATTATGGGATGTAAGGGTGGTTAACCACTTCGGTATTGATTAGGGCTTCGAAGACTTTGCCGAAGAGGGGAAGGAGACTGATAGGACGGTAATTAGAAGGGTCAGAGGGGTCGCCAGAGTTCTTGAAGACAGGAACAATCGAAGAGGACTTCCAGCAGTCAGGAAAACAAGATTCCTTGAGGCAGTAGTTATATAGTTTTAGAGAGGGCGGGCGCCAGTTCAGGCGCGCATTTCTTCAAGACAATGGCTGGTATCCCATCTCCACCACTAGCCTTATTTGGGATCCTAAATTGGAGATAATGCCCAATACCAAAAGACGGGGTTATGTTTAACCCACTCAATAGGGCCTCAGTTCTAAGAGGGAAGTCGGGTATGGGTACACTGGAAGAGTCGAGCGTCGAGTTGAATGAAAATTTCCGAGCAAAGCATTCAGCCTTGTCGGTAAAGGAGGTCAGGACTTCGAACTGGTTGAATAAAGGAGGTATAGAGGGTTTGCAATTGTTCAATACGCTCTTGCAGAGACGCCAATAATCTTTGGAGCCAAATTTGCGAGATGCAATACGCTCCTTCATCCGAGCCGCAAATAGTGACTTAGCATCGTTGAGGACACGCTTACACTCGTTACGGGCGGAGGCAAAGAGACGTCTATTGCAGTCAGACATGTCGCTACGGAATAGGTGGAAAGAAGTGGTTCCTAAAAAAATGGCGGCTGAGCAAGCAGCGGAGAACCAGGGGAGGAGCGTGACTTGATAACTTATATTTATTGATGGACAATCCATATGAACAGATATGATATATATATATATATATATATATATATATATATATATATAACCCTACTAATATAAAATTTTTGGAGGATATCCATTTTTTTTAGTGGATTAGGTTCTAACCACTCTGGGCAATTGAGAGTCTTAATAAAGAAAATATGCTCTCGGTCTGGTTTGAACCTGCATTCCCTTTATAGGATGATGAAATGATGATGATGGTGATGATAGTTCTTAATGAAAACGGTCACAGAGACCATATTGACTGAATGTATAAGTTGACGGTGACCCCCTCTTCTTCTTTGTTTAAAAAACAATTTTCACTGTTTCAAGGAAACTCTCGATATAACATGATATGATGACAGTATGAATAACAATGATAGATGATAGATAGATAGAGGATAGGAGATAGAAGAATTCATTATAAATAAATTTTACTGTGGATGGATAAATAGATAGATAGATAGATAGATAGATAACATTGAATCTTTTATTAAATTAAAGAAAAAAAATAATCAATTTTATAGCCGAGTTAGATAAAAAAGGAAAAACAATAAAAACCTTTTTAAATAAAAAATAAATATATACAAATATTATAAATAGATAGATAAGATTTCAGATAAATATTTCCATCCCCCAGATAGATATAAATAGAAATATTCTACAATAAAACTCTTTACAGAGAAATGATATTTATAATATGATAAATTGATGCCAATGGACAATCCAAGATGGACAATCTAAAGTTTAAAATATTGAATAAAAATGGGATGCAAAAATATTTATCTAATTTAGGAATAGATAAAAGAGAAATAATAAATAATTTATCTAAATATATATTTTAATGATGAAATTTAAATATTAATATTTTAAATTATTTTGGAATTTATATATATATAAATATATATATACCATATATATATATTTTTATTTTTTTATATAAGGATTTTAGTTAAAAAAGATTGAATCAATATTTTTTTAATTTTTCTTATTTCCAATGGTTTGTTTAATTTTAAAAGAAAAAAAACTGAACATGAAATTAAAAAATAAAAATTTGATAAAAATATAAAAAAAATAATATTGAAACGCATTTCATTTTATGTAAAAGCTTTGGCCTTTTATTTTTTTAATAAAAACACAGGCCAAATTTAATATTTTCATAAAAACATATATTTGGACGCCTGATATATGAAATAAATCAAAAATTAAATGGCTCTTATTTTTCATTGAAACATTTTCAATGTGTTCCTTCAAGTTTAAAAATGAAAAATCAGAATACTATTTAATAGATTTTATGGAATTTAAACAATGAAAAAAAATAAAAAATTGATATTGAAATAAAATTAAAATAAATCTGATAAATAAGAAAAGTCGTTGACGTCAAAAATATTTAAAAAAAATCATTTGTGAGAATAAAATAATCGTAATTCAAATTGCAAAAATTTCAATTTTTTTTCTTATATTTTTTTTTTTTATATATTTCAATTATTCAATTTATTTCTTAGCAAATTTGAAAATGACAAAATCCTCATCAGCAAATTCGATTTTGAAAAACATCTCGAAAAAAAATTTTGAAATGCTTCCAAAACTTGTACAAAATTTACATAAATATGAGTAATTTCTATTCCAACTAGCTAGCATGTGTTGATGTAATTACTTATAAAACCCATACCAATCCAGCATATATATCACAAATTTTATATAGAACTTTTATACAACTTTTTCCTGATAAATATAAATAAAATTTACAATAAATAAAATATCAAGATATCTTCATTTTGAAAAAAATTAATCTTTATCCTTTTCAATATTAATTATCTTTTAATTCACCGGGGAAATTTCTCTGTAATCCTTGAAAAAACATATAATGATTAAAAAAAATTCTGAAAAAAAATCTAGGCAAAAACAAACACATGTCTATAATACATTCAAGGTCATCAGTTGATTTTTGTATCATTTTTTGGTTTTTTTACTACTGATACCTAAATTGAGGTTTGACGTAGCATAGATTTTGATCATGATGGAAATAAAAAGTGATGTCTGATTTATGGGAAGTATATAAAGGGATAGATATAAAAAGTCTAGATTGAGAAATCATAATTTTGCTTCCAATTCTGTTTTTGAAAAATAATATAAACAAAATATTTTTCCAACGTTTGGTTAAAATAAACAAAATATAAAAAAAAAATGTCATTAGAAACAAAAAATAATTGAACTGATATAAATTAAAATTTATGGCATGGATTTTGATCAATCTTTAAGATATATTGAAGAAGACAAAAATAAATTGATTCAATGCTAAATCAACAACTGTCACATAAAGCAATTGTAAAATTTTTTTTACATATTATTAGAGCCATTTTTTATTTTATATATATATAGGAATATATATATATATATAATACTTCAGTTAAATAATTTTTCCTTTCATAAACTCAGTATATTTTATGATTAGATTTACAAAGAATATACATCAATGGCCAAAATTTTAGAGGAACTCAAGTAGAAAGTATATGACAAAATTCATTGAATGGGATTTATTTATATATATATATATCAAATATTTTATATATAAATTTCAAAATTAAAAATAATTGGATTTTTATAACCTTTTTAATTTTATGTTTCAAATATAGAAAAATATTTAAATTCCTTTTATTTTATGTTTGGTTGTGTGGAATATCAACCTTTTTATTACACAATACACATTTTTAGTTGTTGAAAGTCACACACACACACACACACTGTTATATATATATATATATATATATATATTCAGTTATATGGATATGACTTTTCTGAAGAAGAAGTTTCACGCTTTTGGATCATCAAACGGACTTTTAAATAAAGACATTTTTATACATATATATATATATAAAAAACATATATATATATATATATATATATATATATATATATATATATATATATATATATATATATATTTAATTTAAATATAAATGTGACCATTGAAGATAACCACTCAGAGTCTAAACATGATTTGAACCATCTTTTGTCGTAAAAGGTATTGATTTAATTTTTTAAATTTATATTTACAAAACTATCTATCTCTGATATTAATATATAATCAAATTTTCTTTTTATCTAAAATACTAAATATGTTATAATATATATATATATATATATATATATATATATATATATATATATATCCTTTATATATATATATATGGAAGTCTTTTGTTTTGAGATTTTTTTTATTTTTAGAATATAGACTATCAGTCTTTTAATTTAGCTTCTTTAAAATCCGTGCCTGTTAGTAGTGCATCGACCCTAGGGTGAAAAATGTAGGTCTATAATTATACCAATTTGGCTCCTGTTCTTGTTTTCTCCCAGACAGTCCACGCTTGACCTAGCTGGAAATTAACCATTCAAGGCAATGAAACATTTTGCATTAAATTTTTGTATGATGCGTGTCCAATATTCAAGTTACATTTACGGATTAAGTTTTCTGTCAAATTTTCCCTAATTGAAATAAATGCTTGTCCCAACCTTGATGTTTACCTTTCTCTTTCTCTGTCCCCTCCCATTTTGTCTCTCTCCTCAATTTGCAACTTTTTCTTCATTTCTCACCCTCACCAAAGACATATATGAGCAAAAATTTTTAACAATTTCTATTTTAAATCCCGTGCCCTCGAAATAGGCTATCGACTTCAATAATTCAGTTAGAAACTCATACTTAAAAAAAAGTAATTAAAATTTTACCAAACAAATTGGTCTCACGATAGGGAACACTTCGTACGACCTGAAAGTCTCTTGCGAAAACTACAATCAAAACTTTAAATCTGATGTCAATTTTGGTCAAAAAGATAATCAGCTTTATATGACTGGTTTACAAAGACATAACTAATGGTTACTAGTACGAAAAAAACATCAGGCTTCCATTTTCAATTCTTTCAATTTCGCATTTGGGATGGTCACGAAACCATATCTTCCCCTCGTTGCTGGGAGTTGGGTAGACCGAACTCTCTCTGGCAGAAAAAAAATGTTATACTAAGTCTGAGCAGCGACAATACACCCTTGGGTAAATTAATTGAAACAAAAAGAATAATTCCGTTATTATTTATTTTTTTCTTATTTTTCCAATGCAGCATGACCTAGTGCACATGTTAGTACTTTATAATGACCATTCTACGAAATCGTTCCTTGCTGATTGAACACAGATTCTCGACTGGATGTAAGTCAGGAGAGTTTCCGGTTCAATCTATAGTACTTTGATTTGCTCACTGGTAAGGCATGCCAGTATGTTCGTGCAGTTTTCCTTCTCTTCCTTGGAGTAACGCCCATCGCAGACAATGAGCTAGGAAAACTAATCAAGAGTCGAGACAGTAGTGTCTGTGCGCGATAGAAATTTGATGCAATCACGGATGAGTAAATATTTTCAAGACCAAACAAATTTCATCATAAATCTAGAAAATAGATTCATATTACTGCACACCACTGCAAATGAACTAATCTGAAGAAAAAAAAAAAAAAAAAAAACAGAAATCGATAACACCTTGTCACTCCAGTGGGTCTAAAACTGACCGTATCGGAAAAGAAAGGAAACTGAAGCGGTTGTTCTAATTAATTTGCACAAGGGTGTAGAATATTTATTTAATAAATACAGATATAATATAAAAGACCTATTCTGCCACTTGACTAGCTTATTGATTTATTTGAGTTTTTTTTTTCCTATTGACTCCGGCCTTTTAGTACAACAATTATTAGTTAAGTCCACAACATTATATTTTCATTTGTTTATTTTCTTCCCCCCACCTCGTGAATGTGTCGTTATCCACAGTTTTTTAAATAAAAATCGCACCGCAGCACATGACGTCACACATGATCACGCGAGAGTGAATTCGGGAAGTATTAAGTATGGGAAGCCGTTGGTATAAACCAATGGCTTCTGTTATCAATTATAGGCATTTAAAAATATTTGAGATTTCATAGTTTATTTTGTTCAGGTTAGGTTTCAACTGTTTTATGTATATAGCTTCAAGAATTTTTAGTTTTTATTTATTGTTTTCATGTTTAAGCATAGTTGTGTTTTCAACAAGGATTTTCCGGAATTGTGTATGCGGCCAGAAATGTTGTTTTAAATGCCTAAAAATGTTAGAGTTATCATTCAAATGTAGTGTCAAGCGTCGTGAAAGCGAGTTTGTGGTGTGACCAACATAAATATTATTTAATTCGTTGGATAAACAATCTAAGAAAGGGCACTTGAATTTGTAAACTATGTTGGTTTTGTTTTTAAATCGCTAACCGGGGGAGAAGAATCATTGCGAATAATTGAGTTGGATATACTAGATTTAGTGTAGTATATGGTTAACTTAAATTTTTTGCTAGGATCTCTTTTAAATATATTAGTATTTACTAATTATTTTAGTATTTCATGTTGTCTATAATTAGTATGCATTTTTGGATGTCTGCTGCGAGGTCATTTCCATTATGCAGTCGGTGAATCGAATTTGTACGTGACTAGTGGCATAGACATCAGATCCTCGCAGACGTTACCAAGTCAGCGAACACGGCTGTAGGCGTTGGTGGAAATAATGTTCGACTGGTCTTGAGGGCGTATTGAAAACCACGGACGTTAAGTAGGTTAGAGAGGACGTTGTGAACGCATAGCTTTAAGGATTAGAAAGAAAGAATTTTTTCCCCAAGAAACAAGGGATAAACCTCTACTCCTATTCAAAATAGTTTATTTAAATATGTCCTGGCGATAGTCGCCTATCTAATCATATTGAGGAGAAAATAACTAGTAAATAAAATTTCCGAGTTCAAACGGAGACGTTAAGTATAAATTGAAGTAGACTTTAGAATGATATACAAAAACCCAATCCTGAACAAGAAACAAGGGATAAACCTCTACTCCTATTCAAAATATTAATGGGAGAACATATGATCCTGGCGATAGTCGCCTATCTACTCATATTGAGGAGAAAATAATTAGTAAATAAAATTTCCGAGTTCAAACGGAGACGTTAGAAGTATAGAATTTATAGACTTTAGAATGATATAAAACCCAATCCTCTTATAGAACAAGGGATAAACCTCTTTCCTATTAATTTATACTTATTATGATGTATGAATATATTTATATATACTCATGAACAGGAGAAAATGAAAAATTAGTAAATAAAACCTATTCAGAGTTCAAAAGAGACGTTAGAACGATTTTAGAATTGAAATAGTTATTAGAAAGATTGTCTTTTTCAAATGAACAAACACAAGGGATAATTGATAAATATTCAAAACATTATTTATGATCCTGGCGATAGTCGCCTATCTAATATTGAGGAGAAAATAATTAGTAAATAAAATTTCAGAGTTCAAACGGAGACGTTAGATGTTAGAATTGAATATGAACTTTAGAAAGACACCTATTTATCCTGAACAAGACACTGATATATAAATTCAATACTCCAAAGTATATTCCTTCGATTTTTATTATCTATCATAAAGGAAAAAATAATTAGTAAATAAAATAAATAAGTTCAAATAGAGAAAAAAAAATAGATATTGAATAGACTAGTGTGTAATTCAATACTTAAAGAAGAGACAAAGGGATAAACCTCTGTTTCCTTTTTGAAAACAAGTAACGATCGGCGCCTATCTAATTCTAATTCTATTGAAAGAATAATTAGTAAATAAAATTTCAGATTTCAAATGAAGATGTTAGAAGTATAGAGTTGAAGTAGACTTTAGAAGGAACCGGAAACCCAATACTGAACAAGAAATAAGGGATAAACCCTTTACTCCTGTAGAAAAAGACCGGGGAGGAATGCAAACTGGGCGATCGACAAAACTATATGAGTAATATGTCAGACAAGAGGATGAGACGTCACCGTTAATTTCCACATTTGGATGTCAAAAAAGAAGAGAGTTAAAAAAAAAATCTTTGAAATACGAAAGGCCGGAGTTGGCTATTTCTTTCTCTGTTGTGGTTTTCAGAGTGTGAGCAAAAAAAAAAAAAAAATATGAATAAATAAAAGCTATAAGGTGATATTGGTGGAGAGATGACTAGAGGGCATCCGGCTTCATGCCAAGTACCGGGTTTGGGAGGCTTTTGATATATCACAGATTGGAAAGCTTTTATAGCGGGAATCTTCGTTCCCATGTGGCCTCGAAATGAAAATCAATAAACCCATCGTTCTAGACATTTCCACCAGCAGAAATTTCTTGTTCTCTTTCCACCAACGGTATTTTTATCAGTTCCTGGATAAATGCTAGTATATTTACAAAGTTGAACGTGGTCTGGCAAGGGGCCAAGTTTTGGGAAAGTTCGCTAGGGTCGAATGATTAGTCTAAATGCAATTTTGCTTAGCTTCTAAAATGATCAAGTTGATTCTTAAGATGGATTCCTCACCAAAAAAGACGACCAAGAAATAATTTTGAAAAAAAAAAAAACTTTAAAAAGAAAAATGAAAGAAAGGTCGTGCGAATGCTTGTTAAATTCATGCCTAAGGGAATTTAAAATTTGTAAAAAAAGGCTAGCAAAAATAGTTATGAACAAATTAATATATAAATGAATAGATAGATAGATAGATAGATAGATAGATATGAACAAACTGAGATAAATAGATAGATAGATAGATACATACGTATGAACAGATTGACAGATTGATAGACAGATAGATATGAACAAACTGAGATAGATAGATACATACATACAGACTTATGAACAGACTGACAAATTGGTAGATATATATAAACACAATGATAGATAGATCGGTAGATAGATTGATATGCCTATCATTATCACTCTCCCTATATATATATATATATATATATATATATGTGTGTGTGTGTGTGTGTAAAGAGAGAGAGATGAATAGACTGAGATAGATAGATAGAAACAAAAATTTGAAACACATAGATAGATAGATAGATAGATAGATAGATAGATAGATAGATAGATAGATATCAACAAACTGAAGATATATATTTCATTGTATAATGAATAAGATTCGACTTGGAACTTCATGAAAGATTAGGAAGGCGGTAAATCTTTTTGGCAGCAAGCAACAAAGATGACGATACTATTCCGAATAATTCGTTGTACAATGACTATACAACCTCTAGGAAATTTTACAAGAGGAAGGTTGTTAAACGCACTGTTACCTACAGTTGATGGTGGTATAATGTCTGTACTTCCTCTTGGCAATTCGGGAATAATTTGGAAGGCTGTAAAACGCATTGACAGTAACCAATGAACAAAACAACAAATTCGTTGTATATTGACTATACAACCTCTTTGAAATTTGTAAAGAGGAAGGTTGTAAAACGCAATGACAGCGAGAAATGATAGTTGTATAATGTCTGTAATTGTCCTTGGCACTTAGAAAATAATTTGGAAGGCTGTAACAAGGACTGGCAGCAGCCAATGGACAAAATAAAAATGACGATATAGTCCGAATAATTTGTTGTATAATATTATATACAACCACTTTGAAATTTAATAAAGAGGAACCAAATTAAAATATGACTGAGAGAAATTAATGGTAGTTTTATAATGTCTGAAATTCAAAATTGGCATTCCAGAAAATAATTTGGAAGGCTGTAAAAAGCACTGGCAGCAGCCAATAAACGAAAGAATAAAGATGACGATACTAGTCCGAATTATTTGTTGTATAATGACTATACAACCTCTTTGAAATTTGTAAAGAGGAAGGTTGTAAAACGCAATGACAGCGAGAAATGATAGTTGCATAATATCTATACTTCCTTTTGGTACTTTGGGAATAATTTGGAAAGCTGGAAAGCGCACTGGCAGTAGGAAGCGATCAAAACAACAAACAACACAGAATTAAGAATTTTTCGATTTTCTTTTTTTTTTTTTCATTTTATCTTTCGAAACCTAAAGGAATTGATAGAAAATATACCGGTCTCAAAGGCCTTCACAGCTATCCGATATGATTAAATGGCTTACGACTTCCGGTAATCAATTTCTCTGATCTTGAAAAACTGCATGATTCGTTGAGCAAGCGTAATCGTCATTGACAAATACGAGTTCGAGCTTCATCAGCCACTCAGCTACTGTGACATCTCTAAATCGATTTGTAAAGAAGATTATTCACGTATAGTCTCTGATAGTAATCTCTATAAAAGGCAGGATGTGTGTGTGTGTGTGTGTGTGTGTGTGTAACGAATGCACGGCCGTAATTTTCGACGGATTTGCACCAAATTTTACGTGCACATGCTCCAAGAAAAGGGAAGGCCAACACCGACTTTGAAATTTCCCAACTCCCATCGATAGTAAATAATTTTTTTTCATGCTTCTGCGGTAGTTTTCATGTAGTTTGCGGCCATTTTCTACTGGCCAGAATGAGAGCCTAAGCTGGATGCCACGAATAGGCAGGTAGATTGTATTAGCCAAAAAAGCCAACAGCTGACTGACACGAATGTTAAGTAGCATGCTAGCATATAAAAAAAAAACAAAACAAAAAAACAAAATAAAAAAACGATATCTGCATTCGTCACAAGTGGGAAAAATTTAAATCTGCATGGCACTTTACTCCATTGGCTCATTCTCTTGCTTAAACTCAACGTTGATTCTGATTCCATTTTGGGTTGGATGTGAAAAAATGAATTACAATCTCGCGTGGTCAAATAATTGATCTCATGGGCCGCAATGCATTTCCAGCGTCTCGCATGCACACAAATTGCCGTAAATTGGAAATCTTCCAAAAAACAAAACAGACTATCATTGTTGCTATGTCCGTGCATTGTTTAATTTAATGTAATGCAATTGTCATCTTTGATAAAGTTTCCCAATTATAAATTGATGAAAGCTTAGATAGGATTAAAAAATGTATCAATATGGTGATTTATTTCCTCTTAAAATGATAATGAATTTTATTTTATCATAACGATGTGAAAGGAATTTGATTAAAATAAATAGACAAAACTTGTCTATATTATTTAATGAAACATGCATTAATATATATATATATATATATATATATATATATATATATATATATATATATATATATATATATATATTTACATTTTCATTAAATATAGACAAGTGTTGTCTATTTATTTTATGTAAATTCTTTTCATAACGTCTGATAAGTTTAATAACATTATCATTAAACGAAGAAAGAAAATCACAATATTGATACATATTTTTTAATCCTATCTAAGCTTTCGGCTTACATAAGACATTATCAAAGATGACAATTACTTTACAATACATTAAGCAATACACGGACAAGAAAGTGATGATAGTCTGTTTCTGTTTACATGGAAGATTTCCAAGCAACAACAAACTCGTGCATATAAGACGCTGGAAGCGAAAATCGCACCGCAGCACATGACGTCACACATGACCACGCGAGAGTGAATTCAAGAAGTATTAAGTATGTGAAGCCGTTGGTATAAACTAATGGATTCTGTTATCAATTATAGGCATTTAAGAATATTTGTGGAGATTTCATATTTCATTTTGTTCAGGTTAGTTTTCAACTCTTTTATGTATATAGCTACAAGAAGTTTTAGTTTTTGTTTATTGTTTTCATGTTTAAGTATAATTATGTTTTCGACAAGGATTTTATGGAATTGTGTATGCGGCCAAGCATGTTGTTTTAAATGCCTAAAAATGTTAGAGTTATCATTCAAATGAAGTGTCAAGCGTCGTGAAAGCGAGTTTTTGGTGTGACCAACATAAATATTATTTAATTCGTTGGAGATACAATCTAACAAAGGGCACTTGAATTTATAAACTATGTTGGTGTTTTGCAAATCGCTAACCGGGGGAGAAGAATCATTGCGAATAATTGAGTTGGATATACTAGATTTAGTGTAGTATATGATTAACTTAATTTTTTTGCTAGGATCTATTGCAGATATATTAGTATTTACTAATTTTTTTTTAGTATATTTTCATGTTGTCTATAATTAGTATGCATTTGATTACGATATAGGAGATTAATATGTTTGAGATTAGTAGAAGCAGTATTATGTACTATTTGGTTAGTCTATCTATCTATCTATCTATCTATCTATCTATCTATATATATATATATATATATATATATATATATATATATATATATATATATATATAAATCTTAAATAAAAAAGACCACTTAAATTTCCATGTAATAAATTATTAAATAAATTCAGGCCTTTTAAAGGACTGCGGATCATCAATTAACTTTACTTCCAAACAAAAATGAAAAAGAAAATTTACAAAAAATTTATTAAAAATTAAACGAAGGAAGGAAGGAGAGAACATCGGGAGAGAAGACATGAGTGGGTTGGCAGATATTGACACATTTAATTTTTTTCACTCATGTTTTTCTTCTCTTTTTCTCAATTTTCTTCTTCACTTTGTTAATTTACATATATTTAATACGGCCAGTCAAAAAATAAATTTGTAGAAATTTTTGTTTTTAAAGTTTGACCTTTCCCTGAATGTTATCTTTAAAGGAATGAATAAAAATGAAATAATTTAAATATATGGAAACCTTGATTTTAATAAATTTTTTTTTAAATTATTTGCTCTGGATTTACATTGAGCTCTCTGGATTTTATCCTCCTTAGGTTTACCCATACGGATTACCTATTTTTTTTTCATTATATATATATATATATATATATATATATATATATATATATATATATATATATATATAATTTAAATTTAAACTATTATTTTTTTTTGCTACACAGTTCTAACCATGTTTCAAAAATGGAAGGAAAAAAAGCCCCGAATTTAATTTTGTAATTAAATTAAAGACATTAGTTCCATTTCATCCTCAAGCGAATTTTGGAGTAACTTTTAAAATTACTGAGTTTTAAATACACAGCTAAAAACATAATTCATGTTTCCAAGGTTACAGATACACGATAGATATGTGGTATACAAATTCCTTAGAATTACTCCTTATAATTAAAAAGAAATGCATCGAACGCTGGTTACTTGCCTCATCTCTATGGAATTCGATTGTTGGCTTGTTGCTAGGCGACAATTGCAGATGGGAACAAGGTTGGAAGTAAGAGAGACCAATGCGATTGAAATAAAAATAATGAAAATAGTTGAATTTTTCAAGTGTAGGTTCTCGAGACATTCCAAGCGAAATTTTAAAAACGAAGAAATCAAAAAATAAAACATTTAAACGGAAGATCAGAAATTGAAAAAAAAAAAAAAAAAAAAAAAACAAACAAACAAAAAACAAAACAAAAACAAACAAAAAACTCGTCTTTGGAATGAAGTGAGTCTGTCAGGCAAATTTCCGATAGTGCGAATTGTGAACGCAAACGGAATGTCTAGTGACATTCATGTTACTCGGGTCGAAGATGAGCGTACGCCTACATCAAAAAATGTTAAAATATTTCTTATAAGAACACGAATAATCGGACGCACACATCTATAGCCACTTCGAGGCCCAGATACAGTGTACCGCGCATGCGCATGAATACGCAGTCAAACCCAGAACCACAGCCGAGCACACACATTCATAAAAAAAAATAAAATAAAAAAAACAGAAAAAAATTACAGGCATCATACGCTAATTAAAAAATTAAAACAATGATTTTTTTTCAGGAGCACCTATTATATATAATTAAAATATATATATATATATATTTATAAATTATATTATACAGACATTGCGATAATGACGCGAAAATGTTATAACTTACTGCGCATGCGCGAAAGGATTAATGGTCTATGCATTTATGATTCCTGTTCTAGTGATTACTTTAGATGTAAATATATTTCATATATATATATATATATATATATATATATATATATTATATATATATATATATATATAAAAATATATATTCAACAATTTTTTTTTATGAGATTAATTTTTTCAATATCATATAAAGCGTGAAAAAAATATATTGATGAATATTGGAATTCAACACTAGAGGCGACATACATATCAAGCATCGCAATCAAATTAAAATGTTGACTTCATATATATATATATAATATATATATATATATATATATATATATATATATATATATATATATATAACCCGTATTTATTTCTCAAAATCATATTTTCCATAAATAAGAATTTGTTTTTTCAAGATGACTAATTTTTAGTGATTTTTATACCATGTTTATGCTATGTTTTTTAATTTGTTCACGGTATCAGACCATATATAAATATTTTATAAATATATATATATATATATATATATATTATTTTTTTTCAACTAATATATATATATATATATATATATATATATATATAATGTGTGTGTGCATGTGTGTGTGTTATATGTTATAAAGCTAAAAATTTTATTTCAATTTATCAAAGGGAGAAATGTGGGTTTTATGAAAAAAAAAAAAGACTGAATGTAAATCGAATAATTCTCCCGGCATTGGTGTTTATCTAAAAATGAACTATTTATATGCAAAGTGCCAATTGCTAAAAATATCCAATCATGTCAATGTATACCCTGAGTGTTGTGTTCAAAACATTATAAATCCATCCCACAAAATGATTAATATCCAAAAATAAAACCTCTAAACTAAAAATTTTTTTTTTCCAGGTTTATTTATAAGATATATCGTTTAATCACTTTGAGTTATTCAGCTAAAAACAGAGCCGGTTTTTTCTGTGCCAAACCGACTGTCTTTAACTGAGCAATGATGAGGAGGAAAAAAGATCATTGCTTCTTAATGGTACCAACATTATAAAAGAATTTTTCTTAAAAGCCCAGAAACCATAAAAACCAACAACAAGTTTAAAAAATTTATCAGTTGATAAAAAATGGATAAAGGCCTCATATGAAAGGGATCATCAAAAATTTAAAAATTTTAGAAAATTCCAACTCCAATTCTTCAGAACGTCAGAATATGACCTGATATGATTTCAGATATGAGTCAAAAATGGAAAAACTTGAACTTGAAATAACGTGAAAAATGAAATTTTACCATGGGAGAAAGTTTCGATTTAAATGGACGAAATCATGCATGAAAAATGATATGGATATATATATATATATATATATATATATATATATATATATATATTTATTTTAATATTCATAAAATTTGATCCTTAGTTATGATTAATTTTATGATTCTATATTTAGCATGACCCAGCGTTGATGGAAAATAAATATACATGACTTAAAATATATATTGCCCTTCCTTATTTTAAAAGTGCTCTTTGTAATATTGCTACATGCCTTACTTCTTCCTATCTCACAATTTTGCTAAAATATCTATACTAAACATTAAATTTGGAAAAATACTAAATAAAATATGAACACAAAAATTTATAAAAGGACTGTAACTGGAAAACCGAATGAAAAAAATATTGGTCAAATTTTTATATATATATTATATAATATATAATCAATTTATATATATATATGAGCCAAATGGTATAAATAGATTTAAATTTTTTTTTGATGAATGCATTTATGTTTATAATATATTTTAACATTTGTGTCAGTTAAGTTTTTATTTATACGTTTTCCAATTGGAGCAAATATTTTTGACATCATTTTTAATTTTCTTTCTAAATAAAATAAAATTTTTGAAAACTGTAAATGCATGAAAAAATCGATTATTTCCACTATCTTGAGATTCCTGTATTTAAATCACACACACATTTTGTTCAAAGTATTGGTCCAAATCATAATATAATAGACGAATACATTTTTTTGGAGGAACACAGACACACATACACATACTTCAACACACATCCTGTTTTTTTTAAGATAGATATTTTTTTTATAATATATATTTTATTGTAAGAGTCCAGTAATGTTTTAAAAAATAAAATTGGAAAAGAGTTCAACAACAAATTATTTGTTTATGTTTTTTATTGATCGTTGTGTTCGATTTTGATCATAAATTTTCAACACCTGTGAACTTAGCTAGCAAATTTTCTTCATTTATATTTAAATATGATTTTAGTTATTCTTGTGTTCTTACACTGTATGGTGTTGACGACGGTTTCCACTTTTCGAGATAATGACATAGATGTTGACAATGAGACGCATTAGTCAATAGGACACAAGTAGAAACGTTGTGTACATATGACTTCTTCATACATTTGAAGCAGGTTATAAAGAAACTGGAACAGTTTTTTTTATCTCGCACCTCTCACTTGTGGAGCTCCCTTTCGGCTCCATACTTTCCACCCAACTTCAATCTGCAAAAATGTCAATCGCTATCTACTGTCCACCTGATTGCTCTTTTCTCTTTCTCCTCATTACTAATGTTTCTGTCACTAAATTCTCCCCACCCTGTAACCCTTTGCTGTACTTGCTTGGGGTGATTTCATAAAAATAAACTAAACTTTTCATTCACTTTCAATAAAACCTGTTTGTATATATATTTGCTGGATTAGATAATCGTTATATTTATTTTTTATATGTTTATATTTGATTTGTAACCTGTAGTCGATATTAAATTTGTCAAATTTTCTCAATTACAAAGCGGCCCTTTAAGTAAACGCAATTTTACTTTCCTTCGCCCCATCTCTCTCCCCACCACTTCTTTCCCTCCCTCTTATTCTAACATTAGATTTTCTATGGTGTGTGTATGTCACCACGAAATGTATCTTTATGCATTAGACATCCGAAAACATTCATTTTTCTCTTACTTAAACCCCTTCCACCCACCTCTCCTAAAATTCTCTCTGTTAAGGTTTAATCTCCCTCCTCCTCATACTTACCTCTCTCTCTAAATTCTGTTTTTATTTCCGGAGTTGTTTTTTTTCTGTTTTCTTTTTTGAATTTGTAGGTCTGATGAATTGGATCGTATTTACGATTCCAATGGAATAAATTATGACCATGGAATATTAGTGTTTAAGCCTTTTTATTATATATATATATATATATATATATATATATATATATATATATATATATATATTGTAGTGTTCATCATTTTCAAAGTCAAAATTGTTATGTTTATCTGAAAATAATAATTTTTACTAGTGAAGTGAAGAAACCTGTATTTAGTGAGATTAGTTAAAGTAACGCTTCAGGGAAGGTAACTAGGTGGAGTAATGGATAGCGGCTCGGATTGAGAAATTGGAGAGCCCAGTTCGAATTCCAGTCGAATGTAATACATTCACTTAATCTAATATCTTTGGGAAAAGGCATGAATCCATTTCTCCCTTCACCCAGCTATGGGTAAATAGCAGGACAGACCGGGGTCTATAACCTTTGATGATAACTGGTCTACCGCAGAAAGAAATTGCAACCTACTGCGGGAAAAAAAACTCCCTCATCAGTCATATATCGAAAGATACATGATCGCTTAAGCGACACATAACTGACTAAATTAGGTTATAAGATTGTCGAGAATTAACTAAAATGTTTAAGAGCTGTTGGTTCAGCATATTATTATATAATTCGAACTGGGCTCTCCAATTCCTAAATTCGAGCCGCTATCCATTACTCCACCTAATTACCTCCCTTGAATATTTTAAACTATCAACAGTAAACATTTAAAAATATTTGTGCAGTATTCATAATTAATTTAGGTTGATTTCAATTTTTAATATACATAGCTTCAGAATTTTAGCTTATAACACTACAATATTTGTGTATCCTGGGTGAGACCATAAACTACACCCGCGTCCTGGATGGGACGATGGACTGCATCCGGCAGCAAGGCCTTGACAAGAAGGTTTTGAGGAGCGTGGAACCACCTCTTAATTGCTTGTGTTCCCGTGATGTTGGTTCCCTGACCTGCTTGACTCTCATACGACTTCGACGGGAGAGTCAGTATATATATATATATATATATATATATATATATATATATATATATATATATATGTGTGTGTGTGTGTGTGTGTGTGTGAAATTTTTTAAAAAAAAAATTATTACTAGCAATAAATTTTTGAAAAAATATTACAAGCAATAAAAATCTTGACGGCATTAATTAACCCAGTGAGGTTGATAAGCCGTTAAACAAAACAAGCCAAACCATTTGTCTTATATGAAAACAAAACCCGGATGATGACATTGTGGTAATGTCGAAAGTACTCAGAATAAACAATATTTCGAATTGATCTCTTTTGCCCTAAGTTGAAATGATGATCCCTCTTCTTGTTGTGACCTCCTGATCCAGTTTTCCTCTGTACTGTTCCTTCTTTTTTAAAAACTTATTCACCGTTCTCTTGATTGTTCTTGAATGATGACATTGTGCTAATGTCGAAAGTACTCGGAATAAACAATATGTATCAAAATAGTAATTTTCTACTCGCTATCTACTGTCATCCTGATTACTCTTTTCTCTTCCCGCTCATTAGTAATGTTTCTGTTTCTAATTCATCCACACCAAGTAACCCCTTGCGTATCAGTGGTTTTACTGCCTAAACACGATTTTAAAAATGGCCTCATAAAACTGAGCAACCTTGAATATATATATATATATATATATATATATATATATAAATATATATATAAAACATGATTGCGTGTGGGGGGGCGTGGATTTGTGTGCATGAAGACATAAGACATAACACAGCATTATTCAGGGGGAACAGAAAAGGGATCAAACTTAATTTTCTGTTTACTTATTTTAACGATTGGGTTGTTGAAGGGAGTGTCTACGTAAATTATTGATGGTCTCACACACACACACACACACACAAACACACACACACACACACATATATATATATATATATATATATATATATATATATATATATACCTGACTCTCCCGTCGAATTCGACGTATGAGGGTCAAACAGATCAGCTCCTAGGAACAGACAGTCCAGACACCAGCACATGAGATTTGATTATAGTGGGAAGGTTTTGTGCAGAACCGTCCACACTAAAATTTAAAAATACAGAAACCTGGTGCACTGTGTGCCACAAGGTCCTCAAACGACCCTCCACAGGTTTTAATTCATTTTTGTCCTTCTCCTAGACTAGTTACCATATATATATATATATATATATATATATATATATATATATATATATTTAAAATTTATAAAAGTTAACCTGTAGAAAAAACAATATTTATAAATATAAATGACAATAGAAAAACTGTAATAGTTGCCGACGCGTTTCGTCCACATCGGACAAAACGCGTCAATAACCACGGTTTTCCTATTGTCATTTATATATTTATATATATATATATATATATATATATATATATATATATATATATATATATATATATCTATAAGTTTGTTATATCAGTTTGTTCATAATATCTATCTATCTATCTATCTATCTATTTGATCTATCTATCTCAGTCAGTTCATATCTATCTATCTATCTATCTATCTATCTATCTATCTATCTATCTATCTATTTATCTATCTCAGTCTGTTCATATCTAGTCTGTGCAAGATATCAAGTGCATGCCTTATTTTCAAGAATGGCGGCGAGCGCCTCATTCCCGTTTCCGTATCGGTCCTTAGCGTAATCGGCAAACTCTTTGACGATTTAATCAACAAGAAATTTGTGGATCACCACGACAACGACAACCACTTGAGCGACAGATATCACGGATTTAGATCGGCTTGGTTCACTGCTTATTCTGTCATCAGTCTCAAGATCAGTGACGCATTAGACAATGCACCACGCGGACGATTGCTTTAGACATATCGAAGATGTGGCATAGAAGATTGCTACTCATGTTCTCCAGCTATGGAATCACTGGAAAAGTCTTTTCAATCATCAATTCCTCTCTGACAATTAGGAGTAATAAGTTCACTGCGGCTCTTGGGATCAATGTAGGCGTCTCTGAAACCCGCATCTCTGCTTTACATTAAAGATCTGCCTTTTGTTCATATCCATATAGATGGCAGAGCGGTATATGGTTGCACATCCAAAATTCTCAATGAAAAGAGCATTGCAACTGACTAAGCAATAACAACTCAATGCAGTGGGTGGGATGAAATTGGCTGGTCACATTCAATGATGCGAAAACCAAACTCATAAAGTTCTATCTTCACTGAACGAACCCTGAATTTTCGTCTTTCGCAAAGAAACGTTGTAGGAGGGCCCATGATTTGAACGCCTGTTGCGACCTCAGTTCGCCGCGGACTTCAAGTGGAACCCCTATATCGTTATAGTGGAACACACCTATTCTATAGTTAATAGACTCTCCCACCTATAATAAGTGGGAGTAGTAAGAGTAACGGGTCAGTCGGCTCAGTGGGTCGGTCAGTCAGTCGACTGGCTGTTTGGTTGAACTCTCTGCCTTCGGGCGGGGAGGAACCCGAAGGAGGCTACGGCGAAGGGCGGATTCTCTTTCGGGGAGGTAAACCGGCCCTGAACCTGTTTATACGGGTTCAATAGGCATATTTTTGGCCGAGCCCACGGGCTCATTGAACCAGTAGTTCACTACCGACTGTTCGATTGAACTCTCTGCCTTCGGGCGGGGAGGAACCCGAAAGTGGCTACGCCGAAGGGCGGATTCTCTTTCGGGGAGGTAAACCGACCCTGAACCCCTTTAGTAAGAGTAACAAGTCAGTCGCTGAGTCGCTCAGGGGTCGGCTCAGTGATTTGGTCAGTCAGTCGATGCCGGACGACCGTTAGTCGGATACTAAAGTATCAGCGACCCCAAGTAGATTACTCTGCGTCATTACCTATTATATCAAGTTCCTAACGTTTTGTACGTCGAACCTATTTTAGGACTGACTTAGTACAAATACAAGCCTCCACTGTGAAACCACTCTATAACATATATACACTCCCTCGCTGAAGATATTCTCTTAAGGAGGGGCAATACCTTGAACGCCTATTGAGACCTCAAGTGGAACCCCTATATATACTGCATCGGAAAGTATATTCTTTCAAGTAGGGCCTTTGCATTAAACTCATATTTGAACCTCAGATCGCTCCAGACATCAAGTCTAACTCTTATATACTCTCCATCGCTAAAAATATTCTCTCAAGGAGAGCTATGCCTTGAAGACCTATTGTGTTCTCAGGTCGCCCCAGACATCGTGGAACACATGTACTCTCCATCGCTAAAGATATTAAGTCAAATGTGCCTTTGCCTTGGACGACTCTTGGGAACTCAGCTCGCCCCAGATCTCAAGTGGATCTGCCATATACTCTCCATCGCTAATGCTATTCTCTCAATGAGTGTCCTTACCTTGAACGACTATTTGAACCTCAGCTCGCTCTAGACCTCAAGTGGAACTCCTGTATTCTATCCATCGCTAATGATATTCTGTCAAGAAGAGCCCAAGCCTTTAACGCCTTTTGGGGCATCAGCTCGCACCAGACATCAAGTCAAACTTCTATATGCTATCCATCGCTAAAGATAATCTCTCAAGGAGGGCCCTTGGCATTAAAAAGGTCTACTTGAAATTAAGTTTTGAAACGAAAATTCAAGTAGAGAAGAATATACTATCCATCGCTAAAGGTATTCTTTCAAGGAGAGCCCTTGGCATTGAAAAATTCTATTTGAGTTTTAAGCTCGCCCCAGTCCTGAATTTGGAAATGATATATACTATCCATCGCTAAAGATATTCTTTCAAGGAGAGCCCTTGGCATTGAAGTCTATTGAGTTTTAAGCTCGCCCCAGTCCTGAGTGGAAATCCTAGATACTATCCATCGCTAAAGATATTCTTTCAAGGAGAACCCTTGACATTGAAGTCTATTGAGTTTTAATTCGCCCCAGTCAAGTGGAAATCCTAGATACTATATCCATCGATAAAGATATTCTTTCAAGGAGAGCCCTTGGCATTGAAGTCTATTGAGTTTAATTTCGCCCCAGTTTTCCTTAGTGGAAATCCTAGATACTATTCATCGCTAAAGATATTCTTTCAAGGAGAGCCCTTGGAATTGAAGTCTATTAGTTTTAAGCTCGCCCCATTTCCTTCTTTTTAATTCAGAAGATACTATTCATCGCTAAAGATATTCTTTCCAAGGATTATTATTTGCATTGAAGTCTATTGAGTTTTAAGCTCCCCCAGTCCTTAGTGGAAATCCTAGATACTATTCATCGCTAAAGATATTCTTTCAAGGATCCCTTGGCATTGATTTTCTATTTCTTTTTATGCCTCGCCCCAGTTTTAGTGGAAATCCTAGATACTATCCATCGCTAAAGATATTCTTTCAAGGAGAGCCCCATTTTATTGAAGTTCTATTGAGTTTTAAGCTCGCCCCAGTCCTTAGTGGAAATCCTAGATACTATCCATCGCTAAAGATATTCTTTCAAGGAGAGCCCTTGGCATTGAAGTCTATTGAGTTTTAAGCTCGCCCCAGTACTTAGTGGAAATCCTAGATACTATCCATCGCTAAAGATATTCTTTCAAGGAGAGCCCTTGGCATTGAAGTCTATTGAGTTTAAGCTCGTTTTGTCCTGAGTGGAAATCCTAGATACTATCCATCGCTAAAGATATTCTTTCAAGGAGAGCCCTTGGCATTGAAGTCTATTGAGTTTTAAGCTCGCCCCAGTCCTGAGTGGAAATCCTAGATACTATTCATCGCTAAAGATATTCTTTCAAGGAGAGCCCTTGGCATTGAAGTCTATTGAGTTTTAAGCTCGCCCCAGTCCTGAGTGGAAATCCTAGATACTATTCATCGCTAAAGATATTCTTTCAAGGGAATCCCCCTTGGCATTGAAGTCTATTCTCTTTTAAGCTCGATGAAAGTCCTGAGTGGAAATCCTAGATACTATTCATCGCTAAAGATATTCTTTCAAGGAGAGCCCTTGGCATTGAAGTCTATTGAGTTTTTTTGCCCCAGTATTTAGTGGAAATCCTAGATACTATTCATCTGTAAAGATATTCTTTCAAGGAGAGCCCTTGGCATTGAAGTCTATTGAGTTTTAATCTCGCCCCAGTCCTTAGTGGTAATCCTAGATACTATTCATCGCTAAAGATATTCTTTCAAGGAGAGCTCTTGCCTTTAACTGCTGTTTCTAATTCATCCACACTCTTGTATACGATTCATCGCTAATGATGTAAAAACGATATATTCCTTTTACAGCTGATTCCAAATAAGTACTTGATTCTTCATGTTATACGCAAAATTTACAAGAGCCAGATCCTCACCCCACCGAAAATGGAGCACTCCAGCTATATATGGACTGATGCTATATAGATCTTTGTAGAGATTTTCAAAAGCGACTATGTGGCCTTGTGGGTGATGAATTATTTCATAACCTACAACCCCTTTCCCATAGACGAAAACGCTGCAAGTTTCAAGCAATTCTATCGCATTATCGATGGGAAATATTCCGACGTGTTACGTTCCTTAGTTTCACCAATCCCCCCCCTTACAGGTAAGTCTCGCCACGCCGTGTACACTGAGGGGATCTACAGTCGTCTCCCTTGGCATTCTATTAGTGAGAAATAAGTTCCCACTCGCACAGTTTCTTCTCCTAAACCGCTTCTTGTGGAATCGACTCCCAAGAGGATGCTTCCATGACCACTATGATATTAACCTGTTGAAATCTAGGTTAACCATATTATTTCCCCGCATTCTTGCATCTCTTACTTCTTGCTCTTATCAATCACACAACAAACGCCTTCAGTAACCCTCTACTTCGAGTGGCTCTTGGGCGTTGTCTAGAGTGAATATTAGTAACAAAAATCTTGTTTAAATTAATTCTTTGAATTCTTTCTGTATATATAATTATCTTAATATTGTTTACTTAATATAAGGCTCAAGATCTACTCAAGGTAGAGTACTACTAAATAACGTATGCGAAATGAATGTAAAAGGCGGAAGTGGGCGGGTGACGATTATCTGAATACGGAGATAGGTGAAGATTCTTTTCGCATATTCATCAGTTAATTAAAACTTTTGACATTGTCTCCAATCTTAACAGAATCTCTTACTAAAAAATCGAATATTTCGGGCTTCTGCGATTGGCGCTTTTCTTTTTAACCGTTCATAACTTTTTGTTAATCAGAATTAATGTAGGGGATAGACTTATATATTAAAAGCAGTAGTTAAGAACATCTGAATTTAGATTCGAACAGAGGAGAAAGAAGACGGCTATGTTATATTAGTTCTCCTGGTGGCATAGCGAGTTTTGCCAGCATCAGGGCCAAAGCAGGTTATGCGCCCAATTTGTTAGTAGGTCCTTGCAGTAGTCCAGTAACAAAAGCCCCAAACATATGTCTTTTATTTTAAGGATTTTAAATTACAAAATCTCATACAGAAGGTAGCGACGTAGAATGTGAAGAAGGGACTAAGCATAAACTACGAGAGAACAGAATGCATGGTCATCCGTAAAAGGATGAGCCCGAAATGCGATTTACAGGTCGAGGACACTAAAATCAAGCAGGTGTGGAAGTTTAAATATATGGGAAGCATTTTGACAGTGGACGGTAAGTGCGACACTGAGATCCGTCGATGTAACGGGGTCGCCAAGAACGCATTCGAAAAGCTAGGAAGAGTATTACGAAACAGAAGGATTTCTTTGGTAACAAAGAAAAGAGTACTGCGCTGCTATGTAACATCTGTCCTCCCTTATGGCAACGAATATTGGACGGTCTCCTCAAAGATGAAGAAGTGACTCAAAGCGACGTAGATATGGATCTACAGAAGCACATTGAGGATATCATGGACCGTGCGTGTGAGAAACGATGAGGTCTTAGAGAGGATGCAAACAAGGAGGAGGCTTATACTTAATATCAGGAGGAGGCAGCTGAAGTTTATGGGACACGTAATGAGGAAAGAGGGCTTAGAGAATCTGATCAGGTTGAATAGAGGGAAAGCGAGACAGGGGAAAGCATCGCATGACATACTGTTGAAACTTGACTAATGCATGGAATAATAATGCAACACAAAATGTACTTAGAACAAAATTTATTGAAACAAGAAAGTGTACACAATATTTACATATAGTCTTTTGTATATTCCTGGTAAGACCGTTCCTGGAGAATGTGTTGACTGAGTCGCAGTCGGGCAGAGTCTCTGGTTGAATCTCTTGATTCCTTCCTCTCTTCCCGGTACCAACCATATTTATATGGTCGGTACTCCACTATGCAAATTAGGTGGATCCTACCACAACACATACCTATCGGGTTTAAGCAAGTGGATGACAGAACGTGGTCTTGGGGAGGTTGCAGAAGGACGGAACTTGTTGAGAGGTGCAAGGGATTGAGGCTAGTGGGGAGCCATGATGGTCTACGTCCTAAAAGAACACGACACATAAAAAAGAAGAATTGAAGTTATTTTTTTCATCCATGTTCAGTCAGCCCAAGGCTCAAGAACAACTCAATATAGAGTGTTAGTAAATAAAGTGCGGGATATGAATATAAGAGTATTAAGTTGAGAAGTGACGATTATCTGAATAAAGAGGATATATGAAGATTTTTAACATATTCATAAGACAAATCTTTTGATTACAAATTTGAAATTGGAAATGCTAATTGAAATACATATAAATATGTGTAATCCGTTTCGGGGTGCCGTTCGTTAACCAAAATCTTTGTTAAGCGAGTAAATGAAATACATATAAATATGTGTAATCCGTTTCGGGGTGCCGTTCGTTAACCAAAATCTTTGTTAAGCGAGTAAATGAAATACATATAAATATGTGTAATCCGTTTCGGGGTGCCGTTCGTTAACCAAAATCTTCGTTATGCGAGTAACTGAAATACATATAAATATGTGTAATCGGTTTCAGAGTTCCGTTTCGTTAACCATAACGTTCGTTAATCCAAAAATACGTAAATTTGTAATCTATTTAAGTTCCGTTTCGTTAACCATAATGTTCGTTATACGAGTAAAAAATATATATAAATATGTGTAATCCGTTCCAGAGTTCCGTTTTGTTAACCATAACGTTCGTTAATCGAGTAACTGAAATACATATAAATATAGGTAATCCGTTCCGGTGTTCCGTTCGTTAATCAAAGTAATCGGATTTTTTTTTCATAGTCTCCACACAATGAGAATATCCTTTTAAGAGCCACTCAAATTAGAGTACGGCTGAATGACGTCTGTGATATGAATGTAAGCCGATTATGTAGATATGGTGGATAGGTGAAGTTTCGTAATATATTTACGAATCAATTAAATTTGCTGCAAGTGATAAACGTATATATTAAAAGTAGATACTTTTTTACAGTGAGGTTCACTCTGTACAATGCTCGGGAGCCACTCAAGGTAGAGTGTTACAAAGTAAGAAGTACTGTTTATGTGGATAGGTGCGGAAGATAACGATTAATCCTAGACTGGGACAGGTTAAGGTTGTAGCGATCGGGAGAACATCCTCTTGGGAGTCGGTTCCACAGGGCAGTGGTTCGCGGGAAGAAGCTGTTCGAGTGGAACTTACTTCTCACCAATTGAATACGGAGGGAATAAAGGTGGTTCATTATAATGTGCGTGGCAGGGCGGGTCCTAACTGTGAAGGTTAGAACTGGTGGAACGAAGGAATGAGGTTCGTCTGGCCACTTTCGATGGAAACGGCGATAGAAAAGCAAGAGGCTTGGTACATCCCGCCTCTGCGAAAGGGGGCCGTTAAGAACTGAATCGAAAGAAGAGAGCGATGGACGGCTATGTTATATCTCCTATTCCGGTTGCATAGCATGGGTTGCCAGCCTGAGGTCCAAGGCAAGTACAGTGTCCAACCCCTAACTAAATGCTATCAAGTACGCCCTTCCACGAGCCCCAGGCATATGTTTTCTATTTTAAGAATTTCATTAAAGTTATTTTTTCATTCAGTCCAAGTCTCATGAGCCACTCAATATAGAGCGTTAGTGAAAGGAGTTAGTGATATGAATACAAAATGAGGAAGCAGGCATTGAACGCAAAAAAATTATTCATTATGGAATTTTTTTTCATGTAATAATGTCATGATGACGCGCGCATTAAAGCGTGAAAAAAAGTGTTCATTTACAGGCATTTCAGAACATTACTGTAGTATTCATAGTTGATTCTGTTCAGTGCCGGCTTTAATTTTTAATATAAATTGCTTCTATTATCTGTAGTCTGAATTTGTTGTGTTGTAGATTAGTAATTTTTTCTAATGAACGCTCAGCACATTGTCAACAGTTTTGCATTTAAAAGCATAATGAAAAAATTACGTTAATGGATAACAACGCATAAATTTGTATAAATACTTGTACTAATGAACGATTTATAGTTTTGTACTACTTGAACCCCTGAAGATGATCTTGGAAGAAGATCGAAAGTACTTGGGAAATGAAAATAAAATAAATTTAAACAGCTATAGCACATTTCTCTCATCCTTTAAGATTAATACACGGAAGGTTATTCGTGAGTATAAACGGATTTTGTTAAAATTTAGCAGACATAATGTCCGTAATTTATTCAATTATATATATATATATATATATATATATATATATATGTGTGTGTGTGTGTGTGTGTGTGTGTATATATATATATGTGTGTGTGTGTGTGTGTGTATAAAATCTCCATGCAACCGGTTATATCTATCTATCTATCTATCTATTAAGACATTTTCTGTTTATACATTCTTTTTATAGATATAAATATTTAAGTATATGCTCTGTTTATTTTCTATGAAAATTTCTCGGACGTTCAGACCGGAAAATGTTGTTTATTAATACAAACAGAGGATTTACTGAAATATTTGTATCCATAAAAAGAATGTCTAAACAGAAAATGTCTTAAAATAACTGTCGGACTTTGTCTATTTCATAATGTGTGACGTCATATATATATATATTTATTAAAGACATTTTTTTTTATGTTTAACGTTGTTATTTATAGATACAAGTATTTAAGCAAATGCTCTGTTTATGATAAACAGTATTAAATAAAATTTACCGGCCTGAATGTCCGAGAAATTTTCATAGAAAATATTCGTTCTTTGATAGGATTCGAACCTGCATCCTATACGGAACCGTCATATACGCTGACGTGCCTTAACCGTCTCGGCCACAAAGAACCTTACGGTAGACAAGGTCGAATTTACTGCTTATAAACTTCAATCTTCCATGAATCTCGTACATTCATAACTGCTCTGGCGTATCGAATGTAAACAAATGACGTCATATGATAAGGTTCTTTGTATATGACGGTTCCGTATAGGATGCAGGTTCGAATCCTGTCAAAGAACGAATATTTTCTATGAAAATTTCTCGGACATTCAGGCATGTAAATGTTATTTAATACTGTTTATCATAAACAGAGCATTTGCTTAAATACTTGTATCTATAAATAACAACGTTAAACATAAAAAAAAAAAATGTCTTTAATAAATAAATTGTCTGACCTTGTCCATTTCTTTATATATATATATATATATATATATATATATATATATGGGCGATGGGTAAATTGTCGCCATATTTTTTATTTTTGTGCATGCACATTGATTTTTTTTTATTTTGTCGACTGAAAAGTGTAATAGGGCCAGTTGGGCAGGGTCTGTGAGAAAAATCCCACCATGACGCAATTCACTCTGACAGAAATTTGGAAACGGTATGCGGTACTGCTTGGCATTCGCGCCGAAAATTGCAATACGAACATTTCAGCGTGTTTGGGTGTCGGTCTGAGGACAGTGCCGACGATTCGAAAAGAGTTGGGTGAGCCTAATGGTAAATTACGAAGGTACGCCAGCTCGGACCAACTCATTCTGATCGTTCTGATAAGAAAAGAACTCCCGAATTTGTTGGCAAGGGCCTCAGACACATCACGGAGGACTACATGTATAGTCAAGAGAATGGCTGCTGGAAGAGCCTATATCTGGCAACAGGGCTCTGCACTATGCCACACAAGCAGGAGAACACAGTCATGGCTGGGATAATGTCTGCGACCACATCACCCCTTAAATATGGTCACTTAAGTTCCCAGACTGCAAGACACTTGATTATTATGTGTGGGACACAGATGAGCGAGAGACCAACAAACAGCATTCACCAATTAAGTATTCTTCTATCTATCTATCTATCTATCTATCTATCTATCTATCTATCTATCTATCTTCTATTCATATGTATCTATATCTATTAAATCTATCTATCTATCTATCTCCATTTATCTCTTCATATCTAGGGTTGTTTATCTATCTATCTATCTATCTATCTATCTATCTATCTATCTATCTATCTATCTATCTATCTATCTATCTATATCTATTTCTGTTCCTAAAATCTATCTATAAATCTATCTTCATATCTAGGGTTGTTTATCTATCTATCTACATCTATCTATCTATCTATCTATCTATCTATCTATCTATCTATCTATCTATCTATCTATCTATGTTCCTATCTCAGCTATACCTTATCTCTTCATATCTATCTATCTATCTATCTATCTATCTATCTATCTATCTATCTATCTATCTATCTATCTATCTATCTCTTTCTGTTCCTATCTCAGCTTACCTCAGTCTCTTCATATCTAGGGTTGTTTATCTATCTATCTATCTATCTATCTATCTATCTATCTATCTATCTATATCTATCTATCTATCTATCTATCTATCTATCTATCCCTTCTCTTCTATCTCAGCTTGTTCCTCTAGTCTCTTCATATCAAGGGCAGTTTATATCTATCTATCTATCTATCTATCTATCTATCTATCTATCTATCTATCTATCTATCTATCTTTCAATCATATCTATCTATCTGAGCCTGTTCATATATCTATTATCTATCTATCTATCTATCTATCTATCTATCTATCTATCTATCTATCTATCTATTCATCTATCTATCTGAGCCTGTTCATATCTATCTATCTATCTATCTATCTCCTTCTGATCCTATCTCAAATCTACATCAGTCTCTTCATATCTAGGGTTGTTCATCTATCTATCTATCTATCTATTTTCTCTATCTATCTATCTATCTATCTATCTATCTATCTATCTCATTCTGTTCACATCTGCCTATCTACAGTCATGTCTACATCAAGTGCCTTGAGGAGGTAGTGATGCCCCGAGTCAAAATGCTGGCTGCTGAAAGACACTATGTCCGGTGTATGGTTGCATCATGCCACAGTAAATGCTGTCAGACAATTCCTGCCACCACATCACGCCTTACATCTGGCAACTTAACTCACAACCCCCTTGATTATTACTTGTGGGTTGCAATTGAGCGAGAGACCAACAAAACTCCTTGTTACACCAAATTTGAACTGAAGGCAAGAATTATGGCAGCATTCACCAACTTAAACAAGGAAAACATCCAGAAGAGTTGCAGAAAATTCCGAAGTCTTCTGAAACCGATGGTTGAAGCCAATGGCTATTTTATTGAATACATACTCTGATATTTTTGTGTAATTTTGGTAAATAATATCTTTTAAAATGGGATATCAGTGTTTTTTTTTTATTTTTGCGTAAATCAGATGACAATTTATCCATTGCAACCTGTATATAGTTAAGTGGTAAGGACAAGTAAAAAGTTATGGGTATATTTGAAGAAATAGTAAGAAAAAGAAGTCCTGCATATTTGGAGAAACTAGAAACTATTGAAAAGGAAGAATGGAACAAAATACATGGTGTCCATAAAGTTCGTGTGCACTTTAAAAATTTATAATACAGGCAGACAGATAAATTTATAACACAGGCAGATAGATAGATAGAGAGACAATGTGATGCTAACTGAATTGTTATGAGTTTTTGAGAAAGTTATCGATACAATTCATATGACAAAGCGAAGAAATGTATGTAGAGCCATGATCACCTGCACCGTGAAAAATATAAAGCCTGGTATTAAACTCACAACACTTTGGGTCTAGTCACTGGATCTAACCAACACCTTTATCCACTGGGCCATGTATCTTCAAGGATTCCAGTACCAGGCCAAAGCAGTGGTGAACCAAAAATCTTAGAGAGTTGAGTTAAAGGGAAATAACTGAGACATCCGGAAGAGGCATGACACGTGGAACTAGAACAATCTACCCCGGTGGACGAAATAAAGGGTTCGATTCGAAATTCCAATCACCCGATGAAGGCCGGATCGTACAACGGCCGAAATGTTGTGAACATGACAGTGAAGATGAGGATAACACATCCGAATAATTTAAATAAAGTAAATAATATAATTGTGTATTTGGGTAGCAATCCTTCTTTTATACATGTTTCATTAAAAACGGCTGACGAGGTACTGCAGTTAATTTTTCTATTTAATTTTTCCTGTTAGAATTTTCTTCTTTTCTGGACATACGTTCTGTAGAAATCGTCTGAGTGTTCCGTACGTCGGAACTAATAAATAATGCAAAGAAACACGAATTATTTGATCGCATGCACTTTCGTTATGTATAGAGGAAATTGAATGAAGCCCACAAACCCAAAAATACCCCCTCCCCTACAAGTAAGCCGGTGGTGGGAGCATTCTGCTCTGGGGATTTTTTGCTGCTTCTGGATCAAGAGAACTAGTGAAAGTTCAGGGTATCATGGATAACGATCATTATTTAGTTATTTTTTTTTAAAACAATATAAAATGTGCAAGAAAGGTGTCTTCAGGGCGTCACAACATGAAAATGGCCTGAAACACGGCATGAATTCTCACAAAATACTTAGATGACAGCAAAATTAAGGTATTGGCGTACGCCGCACAATATCCTGACAAATAGATATTTATAGGTATATTTGAAGAAAAAATAAGAAAAAGAAGTCCTGCATATTTGGAGAAACTAGAAGCTATTGCAAAGGAAGAACCGAACAAAATACATGGTGTCCATAAAGTTCGTGTGCACTTTAAAAATTTATAACTTTACTTGTATTTGCGATAGAAATAATCTGTAAAAAATGTTATAAAGTTTAATGTACCTAGTTTTAAGTATAGCTAAAATAACTAATGTGATTTCAGGCATTACTGTAAATTAGCTGGCAAATTTTTTCCGTGAACTGCAAAATCGTATTACCCTTTGTATTGCTAATAATGGAGGACATGTGGAAACATAAATAAACAATAGAGGGTAGAGCGAATATAAATATTTATTCCAAAATTCTAACCTAAATATGTTATAAAATCACTACAAAAATAGCCATTTTGTTTCAACACCTCTGGTGTCTTATCAAGTGATGATGTTGAATGTAGATTGTAGAATAGAGGTTTTAAAAGGTTTAAATTAATTAACCACATCTCGTAAGGGGAAATGCTGTTACATGAGCTGAAATAACCAATCATAGAAGTGTTGAAACAAAATGGCAATTTTTGTAGTGATTTTATAACATATTTATGTTATAATTTTTTAGTAATTATATATATATATATATATATATATATATATATATATATAAGTGAACATTGAAGTCAACACTAAGACGCGATAGGTTGTTTCATGCTGGACTCAATCGTCAGGCCTATATATATATATATATATATATATGTGAAAAGATGTGTATATAAATATAAATATATATATATATATATATATAATTATTTATATATTATAAGTGGCCAATACTTATTAGAAAGCGCTCAATTCTTGGAAGATAGAGCTAACATATTTGGTTGGATTGATGTGAGTTTTTGACCCTGGGTTTCATGCTTTTGCGATCGTCAGACAAACTTATTAATTTTTTAAATTTTGTGTTTATGTAGATAAATATTGGTGTTAAAAACTTATATAATAACACCAATACACGCAATCCCAAAATTAAAAAAAAAAATCAGTTTGTCTGACGGACTTTATCAAGGTATAAATATCACATATATATATATATATATATATATATATATATATATATATATATATATGTGTGTGTGTGTGTGTGTGTGTGTGTGTGTGTGTGTGTATGCGTGTGTGTGTTTTAATGATAATACTGGTTTTTAATGGTAATAAATAAATGACGACATGAAATGATAGTAACTAAAAAGCTGTTTTGAATCTACAAATTTTGCTATCTGTCTGGAATTGGTTTCGGGAATTGAACCGAGTCCCCTGAGACAGCACCTTCAGCCTGCGCCCTGAAAAATCGCGGCCGGTATTTAGCGAGTTCCATTTCGCTAGTGGAAGGCAGAGTGCAACCTGGGTCGGGGTGTAGAGACTTTGTTGACGCAAAATAACAATCGTCTCGAGTGACGGACGTCGACCTCGAAAACGTCGACAAGGCCGACGTTGACGTCGACGACGCTGCGAGCGACAGCCTGGCGTCGTCGTCAGTGGCGCCGACTGGGCTAAGGGAAATCTGCGACGTTTTGCAATGACTGTGAAGTCTCTCTCATGTTGTTTTCAACCCAAAACAGCCTTGGAATGGGACTCTGGGTCATCTGGCGGGAAAATGGGACCGATGAGGGTAGGGCTGGTGGTAAGGAAAGTAGAAGAATGAAAGATGGATGGCGGGTATAGTGAAGAGGGGATAGGTTTGCGGAAGAAGAATTCTGGAATCGGGATAGCGTGTGAGGTGGGTGACAGGGAAGACGTAGTTGCCGGAAAAGAAAGATGAGATGAACAATGGGTTTAGTCAGAAATTGGATCGAAAGAATAGATAAGGGGAAGAAAAAAAAGAAACGAATAGAAAAGAAGAGGAGGAGGAGGAGGAGGAGGATGAGGAGGAGGAGTAGGAGGAGGAAGAAGAGAAAAATGAGGAGGAAAAGGAGAAGGAGGAAGAGGAGGACGACGAACTCATTGTGGAATAAGAAGTAGGAAAATAGAAAAATGAAAAGAGAAAAGGATGGAGAGAAAAAAGAAGATGAAAAACAGGAAAAAACGAAAGAAAGAGAAAAAGTAAAGAAGAAGAAGAAGAAGAAGAAGAAGAAGAAGAAGAAGAAGAACGAAACGATGGAGAAGTAGTAAATGAAGAAGAAGAAGAAGAAGAAGAAGAAAATGAAGAACGAAACGATGGAGAAGTAGTAAATGAAGAAGAAGAAGAAGAAGAAGAAGAAGAAGAAGAAAAACGAAACGATGGAGAATTTTATTGAAAAAAAGATGAAAAAAAGAAAAGAAAAAATAAATCCCTAAAATTATTAGCTTTTCAATTTATCAGAGAACGGAAAAGAAAAGAAAAGGTAATGGATGAAAAAAGAGTAAAAAATGTTTTGAAAGAATAAGAAGAAGAAGAAACAAACCATGAAAGAACAATAAAGAAAAAAAGAATTAAATTTGTGCAAAGAAGAAGACTAAGAAAACGAAACGATTAATTTTAGATAAATTTTTGATTAAAAGATAAAGAAAAGAAGGCGGAAAGATATGGAACAGACTGAAATAAAGATAGAAGAAGAAGAAGAAGTCAGATAAATAATTTAGATAGAGAATAGATAGATAAGAAATGAAAGATAGGGAGAAGAACGAAAGATGGAGATAGATAAAAATGAAGAAGAAAAGAAGAAGAAGAAGAAGAAAAAAATGAAAAGTATGAAAATGAAGATGAATAAAAAGAAGATTTAAGAAAAAAAGTAAGAAGAATTAAGAAGAAGAAATGGAAAAAGAAAAAATAACGCTGGCAAAGAAGAAGAAGAAGAAGACAAAAAGAAGAATAAACGATGGAAGATTATATGAAGAAGAAGAAGAAGAAGAAGAAGAATTAGAATCCATTTATTTAAAGAAGAAGAAAAAGAAGAAAAAAGTTTTCAGTAAATGAAGAAAAAGAAGAAGAAGAAGAAGAAGAAGAAGATAAAAAAAAAGAAAGAATCAAGATGGAAACGACTAGAATCTAGCATTTGAAGAAGAAGAAGAAGAATATAAGAAGAAGATTTAAATGAAAATATAAATTTTATTTTGTAAAAAATAAATAAAAAAAAATTTTTTAGCAGAATTAATCAGAAAAATAAAAATAAAGTGGGAAAACAAAAGTAAATGGAAAAAAAGAAAAAAAAGGAATAATGATGAACTTTTAGGAAAGTTTAACATTAATAAACCATTAGATAAAGAGGGAAAGAGAAATTGTTTATGTTAGATTGTTTGATTAAATAGATAAATATATTGATAGGCGGACAGATATTAACAGACTGAGATAGATAGATAGATAGATAGATAGATAGATAGATAGATAGATATGAACAGACTGAGATAGATATATAGATAGATATGAACAGACTGAGATAGGTAGATAGATAGATAGATATGAACAGACTGAGATAGATAGATAGATAGATAGATAGATAAATATGAACAGACTGAGATAGGGAGACAGATAGGTAGCTAGTTCGATGTGTAAATTTTCGGCAAAATTAAAAATAACGCTGGCATTTTAACAGATATATTTACAAAAATTACATATTATACAGCCGATTATATGATGACTAATTAAGTCTTTTCATTATTATCCATTTATTTATATTGCTCTGTATAAAAAATTCTATATTCAGCTCTCATCATGGATTTAATTTTGTAATAGTTTTATATTAAAAAGACCTCATTGGAATAATCCCTATCATCTATGCATTTGATATTATATATATATATATATATATATATATATACATTGTTTAAAAATATGATTCCTTCGCTACATAAGAGTTCTCATGTTTCAAAAACGAGAGCCGAAACCATCCAACTAATTATTAAAATTAAGTTGAATTGAGGTGTTTAGTTCCGTTTCATCTTCAAGTTAAATTTTAGGAATAAGCTATCTCTTGGTTTACGTGTGTTTTAAGGCATGGTTCGTTATAACATTCGTTATTGTTGGAGTGGCTAGGCTAGTCATCTTGGTTAAGTGGTCAGAGAGTTAAATCTTATCTATAGATTCATCGTCTTCTGAGAGGTTTTGCTAAGGTTGGGTAGGGTATCTATTTCAAGGCTAATGTTGGCGGTCATCCTTTAGTTGGTTCCCAGTGAGGGATATTTTTATGGCGCGCCTACAAGTCGTTATGTAATAGGAGGATTGTGTTTGATTATTGTCTATCTGATTATCTATTTATTTATTTGTTTATTCAAGTGGGTGTTTTATATACAAACCGTATTACACTGAATTTCAATATTTTTTGACGATTACAGAAGGGGTTTTCCTATCTAATGATTTGGCTAAGCTTTTAAGACTTTTATTAAACTATGGGATTTTTTCTTTTTTATGGTAATTATTTAATGCGAAAATTTGTTGATGTCGGCAGAAAACCGTTAACTGTTGCCTATAGTTTAATAATTTTTTCAATTTTTATTTATTTTTTAAGAAGTTTCGCTGTAGCACAGCTCATCATGTGTGGCTAGACATCCGATTGCCTCCAGCCCAATGGTTCGAAACCCGACTGATTTAGCAAACCAAAGATTTTTTTTAAAATATGGGCTCATGATGAAGGAGGTGGAATTTTACGTATTTATTTTGAATTAACATGCCAGTGACTCATATAGTGCTCACATACAGAATATTTATATTATTTTATCCAATAGAAATTAATATTACAATATATATATATGATTTTCACATATATAAATATAAATAATATATTTAAATATATTATTCAAACCAGGTATATTTTTATAATTTATCATCCATTGACTGGTTTAACAATATGCCAGCATACATCAAGGCTTTTATAACAAAGGCCTTGTTACTACATATATAGCAGGAAACATCGATACTTCCAGGCGGTTACTTATACCCTTTAACTCACCATATAAATATTGGGTTAATAATATCGTTTCCAAAAGTGCCGCATACATATATATCGCATCTCCATAACATATATCAAAAATATAAAGAATGAACATAAATGACCAGTATTTGGGCATTTACCGTCTGGTCAGAAGAGACACGGCTTCGAATATCAACATATAGGGATGTGATTTCGTTATATATATTATTATTTATATATATATATATATATATATATATATATATATGAGATGAGGTAATTGTAATTGTTTACACTATTTACATTGTCGGACTGTTGTCCTCCTTTTCGTTCCCATATTCACAACATTTCGGCACAGCGAGAAAAAAAGCGTTGCTTGAATCCAGTGACTTGACCCAAAGTATTGTGGGTTCAATACCTGGCTACAGCAGAGGTGAACAAAACTTGGAAAGTTGAGTTGAGACATCTGGAAGAGGCATAGCACGTGGAACTGGAACAATCTTTTCCGGTAGACGAAATAAGGGTTGAGTTAGAAATTTCAATCGCCTGTAGCAAGCCGCAGCACACACACACACACGTTTAAATATATATATATATATATATATATATATATATATATATATATATATATGGTATATATATATATATATATATATATATATATATTTATATAAACGTTAGACAAGGTACTTTGATTTAGTTTTTTATACAATTTATATGCGATCTTATAATTGTTTTTTTTTTTTCTTTTCGGATCATAAATTATATAAAAACTGTCCGAATGTTCTTTTTATCCGAGCGCTTTCGGCTATACATTTAGCCATTTTCAAGGATTATATTTTGAGTGTTAAAATAAGAAATAGTATGTTGTATGTATGTTTTATAAAATTTTTTTATATTTTTTGTTTCAAAGCACGGTCAAGATATTATGTCCATGTTCCAAGTTAATATTATTAAGTGTTGGCTTGTTTGTTTTTATTAATAAGGCTTCCATTATTTTTTTTTTTTTTTTGCATGTAGATAATGTAGTTATATTAGTGTTGTCAACAAGTATGTTACGAATAATGTCCTTTAGGTCTTAATGAATATTTTAATTTGATCAGAATACATTTCCTTAATGGGCATATATATATATAGGTATAATATTATATATATATATATATATATATATATATATATATATATATATATATATATATATATATAAACCATTAAAAAATGTTCAGCTTTGAAATATACATTAGAATCGAGATTTTGAATATACCATCAGTATTTTTCAGTAGCATAGATTTTAAAGTTTTTTTTTCCAACCATATCACCCTAAGCAAGGCGAGAGTGCCACTGGCACGCAAGGGGTTACAGAGAGTAAGAGCAAGATTCAAGAGGTCCGTTTAGGGAAAAGAAAAAGAGAAGGACGGGTATCAAGATCAAAGCATCAGATGTCGATAGAAATTACATTTGAATATTTGAAGATTATAGCTATCAGGGAAGTAAGTAAGAGGAAGGGAGTTCTACTGTTGGGAAGTGCAGGAGAAGAAGCTGTTAGAGTAGAAGAGGCGATTACATATAAGCATTTCGAAAGTGGGGCCGAGATGCCAACCTAGTAGCACGCTGAAATTCATGCAGCTGAGGCACCAGTGAAAATAGCCTGTCAGAGCA